AATACCAAAACAGGGGCAAACAAGCTTTTCCAGGCAAACTGAAACCAAAATGGCCCTCCCACAGTCGTGTCATGCACAAATCACTGGAGTGGGGTGACATGGAAGGGGACAGAGGGTGAATAATTTCTTAAAATTCGTGTGTTGGCCTGAGTTTTTAGAATCATAAAAGAGCCAGGGCATTGGAAGATGTCTGTCAGCTGAAAAATGGAGAAACCAAAGACATAAGCAACAGGAGGGAAATGCCACCTCCATTGGCATTTCAAGAGCGCATGAAAACCAGGAATCCTTTTTCCATCTTCCTGGCAAAGGGGAGAGGAGGTGCAGTCAGTGCTGAGGATCCAAAGGCCCTTCCCAGCACCTCCCATCCTTCTACATGCCTTCTGGAAAAATGCTAATCTGGGGGGTGTGCATGCATCCTCTTCCTTGACCTCAAGTCCACTCACAGCTTTCCAAGGGCCACAGCTGGTCCGAAACCCTGCAATGGTGGATTCACCCCCACTAGCAGGTTCTCTCTTCACACCTGGGCCCGAGTCCACCCCTCTCTGCCCACCACTATCCTTGTGGCAGCTGGTCCCCCAGGTCCTCCCTGCCAAATGACCTAGCACCTCGTTTGATATTCCTCATCTTGTCTGAAGGTCTTATTTGTACACAACACATGTATACTGCTCCCCTCCACGAATGTAAAAGCAGGGCACCATGAAGGCAGGGCCCTGACATTCGGGGCCTTGGGGGCCTAGGGCTGGGCCTGTGTGGACAATCAGTAGGGGGGTGCAGGAGGACAGGCACTCTGGTGGAGCTCTGGGCTGCGCACAACACTGCATGACACGGAAACAAAAAGGATGCGAGGTGGGGAAAATGTCACAAAATGTGTATGGACAACTTGATATATATGTAGATAGAAAAAGGAAAGATAAAGAGCAAACACAAACAGGTGTCTCAGGATAGAAGAACTACTAGTGGTTTTTCTTTGCCTTTTTGTTTACTTATATTTTTAGAAGTTATTACAATAAACATTACTTTTGAAATGAGAAAAATAATATTTATTAAGAAAGTAAAATTGTCAACGTCGGGTCAGAAGTCGGTGGAAGCTCCTGCCAGGCCGGGGATGCTGGTCCCTCGCGTTTCGGGCCGTGGCCCTGGTGTCCTGGGCAGACCGGCCGGTGCGCTCCCGCTTCCCGCGGTCCCTCCGGCCGCTCTCCGCCGTGGGCCTGCCCGGAGGGACCGGCCTGCCCGGAGGGACGGACCGACCGGCCTGCCGGAGGGAGCGGCCTGCCCGGAGGGACGGACCGGCCTGCCCGGAGGGAGCGGCCTGCCCGGAGGGAGCGGCCTGCCCGCAGGGACGGACCGGCCTGCCCGCAGGGACGGACCGGCCTGCCCGGAGGGACCGGCCTGCCCAGAGGGAGCGGCCTGCCCGGAGGGACGGACCGGCCTGCCCGGACGGACCGGCCTGCCCGCAGGGACGGACCGGCCTGCCCGCAGGGACGGACCGGCCTGCCCGGAGGGACCGGCCTGCCCGGAGGGACGGGGCGGCCCGCGGACTGGAGGAGTGCGCACGGACAGGCCCCCGAGCACCGGAAGGCGGACTGGGCGCGGGGAGCGGGCGGTCTCGGTCCCTGACCCTGAGCGGAGGCGGGGCCAGCACCGCGGGCCGGACGGGCGGGGAAGAGCGGCGGGAGCTCCCGCCTCCGCCTCCCGGGCCGCGGGGCGCCAGCGCGCTGCACTTCCGGTCCGCGCGGGCCTCCCGCGGGGCGGGGCTCCGCAGGGACGCGGCGCCCGGCCCCCAGCGCCCGGAACTGCGCGCGCGGAACTAGGCTCTGGGCGCCGGCTGAGGACGACGCGGGCAGCAGCGGGCCAGCCCGGGCGGCAGCGCAGGCGGTGCGGAGGGAGCGCGCCCCGTGGGCAAGGAGGAGCCGGCCGAGCGCCCTGCGCCCCGCCCGCCCGCCTCACGCGGCTCCTCCCCGCCCGGCGCCAGGCCCCGCCCCGCCTCACGCGGCTCCTCCCCGCCTCACGCGGCTCCTCCCCGCCCGGCGCCAGGCCCCGCCCCGCCTCGCCTCACGCGGCCCCTCCCCGCCTCACGCGGCTCCTCCCCGCCCGGCGCCAGGCCCCGCCCGCCTCACGCGCCTCCTCCCCGCCTCACGCGCCTCCTCCCCGCCCGGCGCCAGACTCCCCCGCCCGCGGCAGGAGCGCGCCGCCCGCCCCTGCGCCCTCCGCGTAGCGGGTGGGGCCGCGGCGAGCCCGCCTGCCCCGGTCCCCGGCTTCCCCTTCCGCCCGGGCCCGCGCGCCCGCAGCCCGGCTCTCGCAGGGCCGCTCCGGACAGCGAGGCCAGCCCGCCCGCCCGCACCCCCGCAGCCCCGGACTGCCCGCCCCTCCAGCCGCGTCCCCCAGGAGGTGCAGGGCCTCTCGGGGGGATGGGTGTCCCCACAGGACGCTGGGGAGCTCAATGGCCCCCACGCCCAGAACGTGCTGCTGAGGCCCGTTTCCTGTCCCGCACCTGATGGAGGTTAGAGCACCAGTGGACAGCGGGTCCTCAGGAAACAGGCACCCGAATAAACCTCAGGAAACAGACACCCGCAAAAAACTCAGAAAACAGGCACCTGAAAAGACACCGGAAAACACCTCAGAAAACAGGCACCCGCAAAAAACTCAGAAAACAGGCACCCGAAAACACCTCAGAAAACAGACACCCGAAAACACCTCAGAAAACAGGCACCCGAAAACACCTCAGAAAACAGGCACCCGAAAAACGCATTCCACCCGGTCTTGTGCCAAACTCAGAACGGAGGTAAAAACACGGTGGAAGGGGGACACACCTGCCGGGCGCGGGACCTCCGAGTGACTGCACATACGCGAGCACCCCCCTCCCAGGGGCAGGGCCTGGAAAGGGGGGGATTGTAGTTAGGAAACCAACCAACAGCGAGATGATCAAGGGCTGCCCGCGGGTGTCCTGTTCACTGCATGTACCCTGAGGAGGGACATTCCACAAAACACCTCCCTCGGCACTCTTCAAACTGTCAGACAGGAGCTGGAGGAGGCCGGACAACCTAATAGAATGTAGTGGACCCCAGGGCAAAAAGGGACATCAAGTATAACGCCGAATAAAGTTTGGATTTGGCTAATTTTTAAAAAATGATTTAATCAAGACCAATTTTTTTTCCTTGGGCTTTTTAAGAAAAAATAAATTTCTGTTTCTAAGCCTACTCTTATCATAGGGAATGTCTTCTTTGTAACAAACTCAGACACCAGCATAATTTCTACATTAATGATGTATGTAAATTCCTTTAGAGCTGGAAACCTGGAATTATTTGCAAAGGACAAAATATTTCTCAATCTTGTTTATTTGACCAAGCTCTCTAGTAGCTGTTTCAAATTGAATTAAACCTCTGTAAAATACAAGGAATTTAAAAGCCACACCATACTTTATACTAAAAGAATAAAGATTTTTATTAAGCATTGTAAGTTGCATTCAATAGCCTTCAATACACCACACCACAACCCATCTACAATCAGTCAAACCCAACAGCAGTTCATTCTTGCACAATCCATGAGTTAGGGCAAAACTCCCTTCAACTTACAGTAAGATCCTACTCAGGTCTTGCGGGCAGGGATTGGGGAATTACATCTCGTTTCTGATCACTAATGTGTGATGAAGAGCATCAGGAGAATTATATGAAAACGAATAAGAAGTGATTCTAATTTCAAAGTACATTGTTTGGAAACATTAACAAAAACATCAAAATGATATAAGTATACCTGCTTCTACTAAATTCTTGATGGGAAAGTTCTCAAGAACAAGCAATTTGTTTCCTGCTACAGAAGGGGGGGGGGGGGGCGTTTAAAGATCGAAGGGATTTTTTTTTTTTTTTTTTTCACAGAATTTCATATTTTGCTAATATGAAGGCATAAAACAGCAACAAAGAACAGTAATGCATACAGCAGTGAATACACCAGGGTAATGTTGATATTCGAAACAGCTAGATAATTTTGGGGTGTTTTAGAATAAATGCAACAGAGGTCAATAATCACAAAATTTTAAGGTTAGAGCAAGATCAGTCAATGACTAAACAGAGTTAACATCTTTTATAGAACTATTACTGATTATTAGCATTTTTGTTTTGCAAATGGGCACATACTGGTAAGAATGGAAGAAAGGACAATAACATGCATAATATTAACTACACACTTTAAAAATTATGAACCATGCAGAAGTTTAGCTCAAGTAGTAGCACTAATGGTCTACATTCGATTCAAAACCACATAGTTCATTGATCACAGATGCATGGTATTTTAAGTCACAAAAAGTTTCAGAACACATTGTATTGATTTTGAAAGGTCATTTGTATTTTCTATGATTTCAACTTTATCTCCATTTAACTTGTAAAGTATGTATGATGTACTGTATATTTAAAATCAGCAGAACAGCAATATTACTCTATAATTTTTTGTTTTGATAGTTGCACTTTTCTTTTAACACAAAAGAACCACATCAACAGTGATGAAATTTAAGTAAGAAAGAAAAACTGTGGTTGTGCCTTATTTCTTTCATAATCATAAAATCAAAGCCTTAAACAAAGCTTTCTTGTGAACAGTAATGCAAAATCAAAGATAATGGCATACATATGGTGCCAAATGCTAAAATGATATTTTAAGCTATATATACTTAAAGACTGCCAAAATTTGTTTTCTTTATAGTTCAAGAAACACAACTATAGGCTTTTGTCATAACCAGTTTAAACTTTGTGTGTACTTCATTTTAAGAGTGGGAGTCAAATGCTCTTCATTTTCTTTGTCTTTTTGTTTATTGTAGCATTTTGACTACAACTGGTTAAAACTAAAATTGTGTTTTTTAAATCTCTGATATCAAAGAGGGATCCGAATTTCCAAAGTCCTCATTTTTCTCTTACGGAAAGGAAAAAATGTACATAACTGTAGGCTCTCTTTCTCTCCAGATATTCCTAAATCCTTACCCTTCCAGCATCCTTCACCCTCTATAAAAAATAAGTTTATTCTTCTTGCTTTAAGACAGCTGCCTCCAGAGCATCGGCTCCACGGCAAGCACTGTCTGTGCTTAGTGCATTTAAGTGAGGATTTGTATTGCACGTCTTAGAGTCATTGTTCAAGGCACTTTCCGAGTGGCTGGGGGCCCTGGTGTCGCCTACACTCCCGTTCATCTGGGAAGCCGGCTTCTCAGCCACCACTCCGTTCTCAGCCAGGGACCCGTCTGAAGATATGGCGGAGGACTTAGATTCCCCGGATCTCGACTTCAGTTCTTTGGCCACTTCTTCTGCTGAAGCAGCATAAGGAGGCTTGCCCTGTTCAAAATAAATTACACAGCGATTAGCAGCTTTCGATAAACAGTGGGAAAGTGGGGGTGCTAACGAAGCCTAATGATATTGCAGATTCGAGAGCAGAATACAGAGTATGTACTTTCTTTTTTTAAATAGATTTTTATTTTTACAACATTTTATGTTTTTATTGATTTTAGAAAGAAAGGGAGAGGGAAACATCCATGTGAGAGAAACATCAATCAGTTGCCTCCTGCATGCATCCCAACTAGGATCAAATCCACCACCTTTTGGTGTTTGGGACAACGTTCCAACCAACTGAGCCACCCAGGCCAGGGCAGAGTATGTACTTCCCTCTCCATTGTTATATACTCCCTACACTCTGTAGTCTGTACATACTCTGTACATGGGTATATACTCTACATGCATTCTCTACATGGTAACATACTCTGTCTTTGCTTCTCATTGACCTGCATCTGGCAGAAGCTTCTCTCCAACTCAGCAGTTCCTCCTGTGCACCCCCCCCCACCCCCCGTCCCTCAGCTTCCCTGTAGTTAATGTACTGACATTGAGGGAGATCCCCACTTGAAAAGCCCGATCTAACCCTTTTGTATAGCACTGAGTCACTTAAAGTAAAAAAGGTCCCTCAGTGAGTCTCCTCTGGGCTGTCCTGCACATGACCACCAATGGGATATCTGCATGTTAACAGGCAGCAAGGGCGTCCACTTCTACTGGGGAATCATTGCTGGGCAACCGAGGCAAGAAGGAAGCCTTGGCAAGATAATCGCTATATGTGTTTGTGGCTTATCTCTTCTGAAAGGGTCTCCCCTCTTCCTAACAGATTTAAAAGCAATGCTTTGGGAAAAAAATGAGCATTGAGACTGACTCGGCACATTTTCTCTCTGTACGGAACCATGAAGAAAGATCTTTCAGTTGCTTACATCTTAGAGCATGGGTTTCTCAACCTGGCATCATGACATTTTGGACCTCATAACCGTGCCGTGGGCTGTCTGTGCACTGTAGGGAGGTTGGAAACATGACTGGCCTCTGCCCACAGAAGGCCAAGCACTGGCAGCCAAGCTGTGACAATTTCCCCGTCTCCAAACAAGCCAGTGTCCCCTGGGCTGGCGTGGACAGGGCTGAGACCCACTGCCAGAGACTGACTGTCGCTGAAGAAAATGGTCTTCACCTTCAAAAGGTTGTTCAGATAAGAAAGCAGAGGCCCAGGCTGCTTAGAAGTCTTCTAGCCCCGCAGGCGATGCATCTAATGCCTTCTAGTCCTTTCTACTCTGAGGATCAGAGTGTTTGTCTGGTTGAAAATAAAGACCATCTGCTCAGCCCAAATAGAGTTGAAGATGCCCATCACGCTTGTATTAGGGATGGTTCTTGTACCCTCTGGGTTCCATAACCCACACTGTCTTCTCATTTTAGCTTTCAATCCCAGAATTCAGAAACACTAATGTAAACTTTTCCAGAGGTCTATACTATAGTGATTTTCTTGGAACTTTGAGATAAATAATGTAAAAACATAGGACAAGTAAAATAAAGGAGGGCTAAGTAGGGGCAAAATCTAATAATGAAAATCTCCGGTACATGCTTTCAAACCTCAGTCTTTCAGGAAAAAATCCACTTGCTGGACCAAGCACACACCAACGGTGGTTAGCAGTGGTGGTGGGCAGCCCCTCACACCCTCACAGACGCCACTGCATGAACTGCGTCAGGGTACGTTTGATAGAGGGCGGAGGGGGAGGGGGGGTTGCGCACAGAGGATGCAACAGGAATTAGAAGGAAAGCCAGCTTGTACCACTCTCTACAGCCCATTCTTCCTGCAAACCTTGGTCACTGTGAGGCGTGCCCCACCAAGTGACCACAAGCACAGGGTGATGCTGCCTGCTCTGCACACATCCTCTTAGAACTGGCCCCCCCAGGATGGCAACTACAGAGAGAGAAGGACAGCTCAGAAACTCTCAGGAGACAAGCTGCCCTTCATTATCTGTCCTTCTCAAGATATAAGAACACTGATGTCACCTAAAATGAGCAACCAAAAGTACCAAGGTGGAACCACACGTACCACCATTATAGAAAAACGGATTGTGTACCAGTGGGGGTCCCTCAGCCTGGCCTGTGGACATCCCCTGAGGAGTCCCAGATTGTGAGAGGGTGCAGGCCAAGCTGAGGGACCCTACTGGGGCTGGGGAGGGACCATGTAAGGGCTCCAGGGTGTGCCCAGCCTATCTCACCCAGTCCCGATCAGTTGGACCCCAACAGCAAGTTAACATATTGGTTGGGAAGTCTGACCACCTGGTGGTCAGTGCGCATCATAGCAACTGGTTGAACAGTCGAACAAACGGTTGACTTAGACACTTACCTATTAGGCTTTTACTATATAGGATAAGGAATGGACCAACATTCCTAAAGACAATGAAATACGGTAGAAAGGCATGTCCATAAATGGCAAAGACTGCTACGTCTGATTTCCAAATGGGTTGTAACAGGACAGGACATGCACCAATCAAGAAAAGTGAGGTGAAAATTTTAGGGAAGAATTCAATAAGAAAAGATTATTCATGGGCGATGGCGGGTGGGAGGTGGGGGGTAATAGGAGGATAAGGACACATATGTAATACCTTAAAATACCTTAATCAATAAAGAAATTAAAAATAAATAAATTTGGCTGGGAAAATAAAAGAATACTAAACTAGAAAAAACACACCACATAAACATTATAAAATACCCAAAGAAAGTGAAAAGGAAGACAATTTTTTAAATCAGAAAAAAAGATAGAGAAATGCAAATCAAAACTACGTTTGATACTACTTCATACCATCTGGGAAGGCTAAACTCAAAGACAAACAATAAAAAATATTGGGAGAGAATGTAGAGGAACCAGAACCCTCAGATATTTCTGGAGGAATAGAAAATGGTGCAGCCACTTTGGAAAAACTGGTGATTCCTCAATTAGTTAAATTTATCTCCCACCTGAGAATTTACTCTTACTTATATACCCAAGAGAACTGAAAGGATGTGTCCACACAAAAAATGTGCCTATAATGACTCTAGTTAACTATACTCTATTATACAGGGTGGGGTAAAAATGGGTTTATAATTGTGAATACACAGAATTTATTCTAATATTATTTATTTTTCACATGAACTATAAATCTATTTTTGCTCCACCCTGTATATTTGAAGGTTGCTAAGAGAGTAGATCTTAAAAGTTATCACAAACAGAAAAGCTTGTTTAATTATGTAAGATTATGAATTTTAACTAGAGCTTAATGTGGTTATCAATTTGTAATACATATAAACTAGTGGCCCAGTGCACAGATTCATGCACATTGACAGGGAATTTGGTGCAAGTGAACCAGATTCAGGGCTGACAGGGCCCCAGCAGCAACCTAACCTACAGATTGAAGCATCTGCTTCCTGGTGGTCATTGTGCTTCATAGCTACCAGTCGAATTGGTAGGAATAGAAAATGGTGTGGCCATTTGGGTGGTGGTGGGGGATGGGGCTGGCTGCTGGAAGCCGGGGAAGATGGCCCTGATGGCAGGCCAGGCCTAGGGACCATACCCGTGCACGAATTTTGTGCGCCGGGCCTCTAGTAAAGTAGGTAACCGTTATGGGACATTCCAAGTTAACCATTCCCTGCATTCTTAGGAACCAAGATCCTCAGGATGGAAGCATATACAGATATAAACAGCAAAGGTTAAGTAAAATTTCTAAAGTTCTAAATGTGAATTGAAAGAATCAATATAAACTCTTCAGGTTTTCATTGAAAAGAAAAAGGCAGCAGCATACATGTGTGTACACAGCATACATGATATGCATGCACATATCATCCCTCTAGCTCTGACCACAGGAAAAGCACAGAAATCATGACACAATGTGGAGAAAGGACATGTAGACAATGAAGAGGCCAAGTTGAAAGCGCCTTAGACAGCAGTTTGAATTGGAAACCTTGGTATGAATTCATGAGGATTCTATCTTTTTCAAAAGTATACTATTTTAATGTTCTTATTGATTCGAGAGAGAGGAAGGGAGAGAGAGATAGAAACATCAACGATGAGAGAGAATCATTTATTGGCTGCCTCCTTACACTCCCTACTGGGGATTGAACCTGAAACCCAGGCATGTGCCCTGACCAGGAATTGAACTGGGACCTCCTGTTTCACGGGTTGACGCTCAATCACTGAACATACCTGCCCAGCAAGGAGTCTATCTGAGCAATACATATAGTAAAACGTATATATGTGTGTATGCAATACATGTATGAAGAAATGGAGTTGTGCCTGTGTGCACAGAGCACCAGGAACAGTGACCAAATCCATGGTAGTCAGAGTGCACCAGTGCCTATAATGTGATATTGAAAAGCTGTTTCCCATGGAAGAAATCAAGAAACTAAGAGAACTGGCTATTGCAGGTCCACTGGGCTGAGTGATACCCTAGACAGAAAGCTACTGAGGACCTCAGGTCACAGCTGAAGGATGCAGTGACCTAGGACGGGCAAGGTGACTGGAACATCACATGCAGACCTTGTCTTCCCTGTAGAGGCTGTAAAACTCAGCACCAGAAACACGTACTTATAAAAATACTCCAATAATTAAAAAGAAACGATGGGTTGAGAACATCTTCGTTCTGAATAAATGGTCTGGTCATTGTAGCACCAAGAGGGACCAACACGTAAAAATAGATAAGCAGTCAGGAAAGCACGCGTCTGCATGGATAAACCCGAGAACAAACAGCACTCAGGCCCAGCTGCTGGCATCTGAGAGAGTAAGCAGAGCCTCACTCAGTGTGCGTGTACACTCAGCCGGATCAGGTCTGTCATGGAATGCTTGGGCTGTGCTTTCAAGATTAAAGGACAAAAAAGAGAGATTGAAACAGCAACCAAATGAGCAAAACTCTACTGTGTCTAGGGACAACACACACCACCACAGGGAACAGTTCTGGGTCATGATTTTTTTGGGCAGAGGCACTGGGATAAGGAGAGGAGCTCTCGGTATGGCAGGTGATGATATTCATACTGTGATGGCATGTGAGTATTTGCCTTATAATGAGTGAAGCAACACGTCTGTTTTGTGCAGTTTTTGAGAATTTATTGGACTGTTAAACTAGAATTCCCTTATGCTGGGTCACAAATTCACTGTATGCACTAACTTTTTTTTTTTTTTTTTAATATATTTTATTCATTTTTTTACAGAGTGGAGGAGAGAGGGATGGAGAACTAGAAACGTCGATGAGAGAGAAATATCAACCAGCTGCCTCTTACACACCCCCTACCGGGGATGTGCCCGCAACCAATGTACATGCCCTTGACCGGAATCGAACCTGGGACCTTTCAGTCCGCAGACTGACGCTCTACCACTGAGCCAAACTGGTTTCGGCTAACTTTTTTTTTTTTTTTTTTTTTTTTTAATATATTTTATTGACATTTTACAGAGAGGAAGGGAGAGGGACAGAGAGTTAGAAACATCAATGAGAGAGAAACATCAATGAGCTGCCTCCTGCACATCCCTTACTGGGGATGTGCCCGCAACCAAGGTCCATGCCCTTGACCGGAATCAAACCTGGGACCCTTCAGTTCACAGGCCAATGCTCTATCCACTGAGCCAAACCAGTCAGGGCTGCACTAACTTCTATTTATTAACTGGTAGCCTGCATTTTCTAATTTTTTCTGACTTAATAAGAAAATTCCCAAGGTATAAGAGGTTTTATATTAAAGTGTATGAGCAATGTGTGGACAGTTCCTACGCCCAGCTCAGAAAGGCCCCGTTAACCTCTAAGGATGACAAGAACACCGAGGCCATCTTTACAGAAGAGCTCTGGGCTCCTAGACCTGTGGAGAGGCTAAGAGTGCTCTCGGCTGCAAATGCACCTGGGTAAAGGCACAGGCAGACAGAGCCAAGCCCCACCCTTGCCAGATGCTGTGCTGCAAAGAGGCTGCCTGGTCCCACTCAGGGAAGACTGGGCTCTGTACTTGATTTGTTTGATGTGTTTCATTTAAACAAGTGACAAGGTGAAAGACCATCTGGTAAAGACAGTTTTATCTTCTGTTGGCCAAGTAAGTTTCTAAATATGGGTTATTAATATATTAGTCACAAGAGTGCACGCTTTTTTAAAATTAATCCTCTAATCCTCACAGGAGGATATTTTCCCATTGATTTTTAGAAAGTAGAGGGAGGGGGAAAGAGAGAGAGAAACATCAATGTGAGAGAGATACATTGATTAATTGTCTCCCTCGTGTACCCTGATCAGGGCCAGGGTTTGAGCTTGCAACTGAGGTTCATGCCCTTGACTGGAATCAAACCCAGGATCCTTAAGTCCGAGGGACAACATTCTATCCACTGAGCCAAACCGGCCAGGGCAAGAGTGCACTCCTCTTAATGTTTACATGAATGGCATCGGAATAAACTGTACACTGTGGTTAAATACCATAATTAAAGAAATGGGACGACATACTACAGTGCTAAAGCTGACTGGTATCTTTCTTCACCAGGATCCAGATCCTTTCAACCAAAGCAGAAGAAGGTCCCAGTCTTTCCTGAAGACAAGCACATGACTTGTGCCCTCTTGGGATTATCCTTTAAGCAGCACAGCACCCAGCAAGTGGTGGGCTGAGAAGTTAGTCAAGATGGCCCAGTAGAAGGAGAAAAACAGATCTCCTGACCCAGCACTGAAAGTCGGGATTTCCTTTTTAAGTCCTAAATGCTATTTACCTAATAATGTTTCCTAACATAAACACCATTAGTGGCCCTGGATTATTCCCCGTAAATCCCTACAAGCAGCTGTGAATCTGAGTACAAACCTAATGGAAATGATTTGAGGGACTTACAGGGGGGTGAGCACTACATGCCAACATCAAGTTAGATGTTCCATAAACAGCCCAGCAACCCGGCCCCTCTGGGCTCGGGCAATAAGCACTAGCCTGGAAGACGAGATTCCAGGGAGGAACCAGCACCAGCATTAAGTGTGTGATTACCTGAATCGCACCCTGGTTTTTGTAACCTCTGCCGTAGTACCTCCCACCTCTTCCGAAGGTTCTGATCACTGGGGTGGAAATAACTCCGCGTGGACGCCTGAAGAATAAGTCACACAAAAGCAGAAAGACTTGAATATGTTATGAACAGCACTTAAACCATTTAAAAATCACATCCAATGGATTTAAAGGTATCTAATCTTATGCTATAGGAAGCACTGAGTTTATTAAATCATGGACATCCAATGCATGCAATTTGAAAGATAATAATTTCAAACATACTACTGTTTTAAACATTTATAAATAGTTAGTTGAATAATGTATGAATAATTACTTGACAATTTAAGTAATTATATAAAGGTATACAAACTGCAATCCTATAAAACCACTATGAATTCTATAGAGTGAATTTAGTGATATAATAAAAATGTTTCTAGTAAACGGAAAAGCAAGTAAGAGCTATTTCCAAATCTCTACAGATACATGGTCACTGATCAGCACTTACCCTCTGGCTGGTCCTCCAACAGAAACGACCTGCAGGGGGAAAGGCCCGCGGCCCCCACGGCCCCGCCTGCTCCCAGCCCAGTGGCCGACCACCGTGCCCGCGATCTCCAGCTTCCCTCCCTGAGAAGGCATAGGCTGGATTCCTACACAACCAAGAGAAAAAAACAAAAACCCTTTAAACGCCAGGATTAAGAATGGCGAAGAAAAACGAAAAACCAGGAAACACTTTCCTTTCAGGTGTGGTTTGTGTTTGCATGAAGGCCTATTTTGTTTATCTCAATATGTCCAAAATAATATTATTTGAACATGTAATCAATATAAAAAGCTATTAATGAAATCATTTGCTTTATTTTTTCCATATTAAAGCTTTAAAGTACATCTTCACTCAGAACACAGCCTAAGTGCTTTGAGAGCCACATGCGGCCAGTGACTGCTACACTGGCCAATGCACATCTGAGTTCCAGATACAATCTGTAGAAGTGAGGAGGCAGCTCCTCTTGTCATTTCACCCTAAGGTTCCTGATCCCCGTGCTCCCCGACTGCAGACTAGCAGGAAAGTCCAGCCCAGGGCTCACTGTGTGCGGCATGGCACCGGCACAGGAAGGAAAGGCACCGACAGCCGGGAGAGCCCAGGGAGGCAGAAAAAGGGGACGCAGGCCCAGTGCGGAGGGACGGATGCTCCTGTGGCCAGAGGGGCTGCATTCATCTCACTGCTACACAAGATTTATCTCACAACCCTCTGTGTGCACCCAAGTAATTGAGCTGGAAAACATTCCTGGTTAAAAGAGAAAGGCCTGCCTATCCTCAAAGTTCCTTAAAAATGTATGTGAATAACCCTCTCGTGGAGACTTGATGGCCAGGTTTAAATTGCGGTCCCCAAACGCAGGATTTGTGACAAAGCACCAAGTCTCAGGCCTCATATTACAGCAAAATCACAAGACATGATTTCAAGACTAAATGCTAAGACTTTTTCTCCTTTGTAAGCTTAATACAAATAAGAGAAGCAATGGGAATTTAAAATAAACAAATTATATATCTACTATCAGATGTTTCTTTTAAAATGTTTCAAACTGTGTTAAGTTTTTATGCCAAGAATTCTACTGTGGCCTTAGAACCTTCTATTCATGCACAATCCTCTCTACCGAGACAGCCGCTGGGGGACAAGGAAGAGGCTCCCTGGTGTCACAAGAAGTGATGGTTGGAGGACTGTGTGCACACAGAGCCTGTGTATAGACACATGGAAGCCCAGAAGGAAGGCGGGGAGGGGTCTCTGCAGAGACCTGGGGGCAAACAGACGCTGGGAGAAGAGCAGAAACAAACGCGGGGGCGGGGCTCACGGAAAGAACGTGCTGCTAGAGTCAGGACAGAAGAGGAGCCAGAGGAACAGGGAACTGCGGGCGGGCGGGCGGGCAGAAGCTCTAGAAGGCATGGCATAATTACCACCCTGCGACTTGCTAGTCCTGCTGCCGTCACTGCCTGAGAAGGCTCCACAGTGTCCTGCTGCCGTCGCCACGCGGAAGGCACGGTAGGCGCCTGCTGCTACAGTTTCCCCATAGGGGCCTCCAAAGCCACAGACTCCTGTGGGACCCGGGAGGAGAGAGGGGAGAAGCTGTGAGGAAGCAGGTTCAGGGGCCCCCAGTGGTTTTCAGGCAGGGCAATCCCCATTTCCTAGGTTTTGTTCTTGCACCATCAACGGCCAGGGAGGATTTCCCAGCCCCTCTTGTCAACACCAGGACACTGCCCCCGATACTGAAGGAGCCTCCTGAAGCCAGGAGCTATCTCGTGGCCCAGGCAGCATCCAGGAGGCCTTAGTAGAGGACACCTCATATGAGAAAAAAATCTTTAAAATCTCTTCACTGCAACAGCTTTTGTAGCTCCTTTTCCCTTCCCCAGAAACTCTTCAGGGATTATTTGTCCCTTTCATAACTAAGCCAGAGAGTTAATTACAGTGTGTCAACGTGGCAAGATAGGGCCCACCAAGGCCTGCAAGCTGTGTGGGCCTCTGTCTTCCCACACCAGCACGGCCCTACCTGCAGAGGCGGACACACTCACCTGCAAAGCCACGCCCTCGGCCCTGAGCTGGGGGGACAGGCCCGAAGTGCCTCGGGTACACCGAGGAGGGGTAGAAAGGCAGCGCCGAGGGCGGTGGGAAGGGGAGCGGGAGGCTCTGCCGGGAGAAGTTCAGCCCTTCCAGGATGCTCTGCCGCATCTTCTCCACCTTGGCAGCTTGCTCTGCCTACAAGTCAAGCGCAGCATGTGAACATGTCTTACAAGGTTCCAGCTGGATTAGAATGCACAGGAGAGAAGTGACCTATAGGCTGCTGTGCCACGTCTGGTTATTTATCTGTAAACAGTCAGTCGGCTCAGTAGTGCTTGTTTGCAGAATGAAAACATGACCGCAAGAGCAAAATTGCAAATAAATAAATAAATAAATAAAATACTTCTTACTCTTAAAAACAAAAATGAATTTCTTCTATCTGAGCAGATCTCAGGTGAGAACCATTGACTCCAAAAGCTACTCATGAAACTGTAAATTTGGTTCTCAAAATCAATGCTAAGTCAAGCCTTCTCATCCAGTTTCCTCTTTCCACCCGCGCACCGCCGAGCTCACATCTTTGAAGCTGATTTTCCTCTCTTTATATCAGGGCAGGTGTCCACTGCGTTTCAGAGTGAACTGTGGTACAGAGTGATGGAGGCCTCCTCAGGGAAGCCTGGAGCTCACGCCTCAGGACGGGACCTGGCCTGTCTGCAAGACTGTCCGTGAGAAGACTGTTGTATCATTTCATGTTCATTACAACATGTTACAACATGATACAACATAACCTACACATGTGGAATATACAGCTTGCATGTGTCAAATGCCATTGACTTCAGTGCTGTAACTCAGCCCAAAAAGCTCATTCAACATCCAAAAAATTCAACTGGAGTGTCTTGTGAACAACCAATCTTTAACCAGAATTTGAAGATGTGCTTATATCGTAGTAAATCAGTCCTTATGGGTTGCATGTTTTAAAGTCTACAGTTTAAAGGCTTTAACAGAATTTCAGCCTATTTTAGGCAAAGAGACAAATAACCTGATAACCTACTTCACTCTATTTTTAAACCAAATTAAAAAAACAACAACACCAAAAACGCCTAGTCAATCCTTTCTATTCATGAGCTCCACACATCTGTGAATTCACCTATTTGCTAAAATGTACTTGTAATTCCACATCAACACTGAGCATTCTCATGACCATTCACAGATGTGCAGAGTAAGGCACACTTTGGGGTTCAAGTTGAGGGTGAAGAAGACGACACTCTGCCTTTGGCTTCAGCTTTTACACTGTAAACGAAGGGCCTGTTCACCAGCTACTTCGTTTGCTGTATGACTTGGCCCCAAGCGCAGTGCTGAGAGCTCTCGGAGTTCCTAAGTACCAGGCTGTGAAAGCACCTTCTGGAGAAAATACGTGGGTGAGGTGAGCTTTGTCCATTTCAGCTGAGTTACAGCGCTGTGGGCCTGAGTTCAACGTGAGTGAATTTACAATATATATTCATTAACATGTCTTTAAATAGGAACACACATAAACAAGGCTCTATGTTGATCACTTGACAAAAATGTTGTCCCTGGAGGATAGAGGAACCTCGCCTTGCATTTCCCCTATGAGGCAAGGTTCAGTATCTGCTAATTCAATGTCTGAGGCAAATGCATAGGACTAACCATGGTGATTAATGAGAATCCAATGTCAATGTATATCCAGAGCTCAGCACTGAACTGACATGAACCCCCCACATGGGCTGGACCCAATCTAAAACAGAATGCCATCTCTGAGGGTCATCACAGATTGGGTAAGAAAGATGACTGATCAGACCGTGAGCAGTATTTCCCTGTTTGAAGGTGGCCAGCCGGTCCCCCCACCTCCACCCGACTGTGTTCCTGCAACTGACCTGACCATCACAGAGGTCGATGAGTGGGGTCTTTTCCCGGCTTGCTTTGAGGAGTTTTGACTGGAAGAGCTTGCCATCAAAATACATCCAAGGACAGCAGTGTTCCCAGGGCACGGGCTGGCCACATGCGTCGTTTGCAAACAGGGCCATGTCCACGCCACTCATGAAGAGAGCTGACAGCTGAATGCCTCGAGGGTCGAGGTTCTCAATCTTTAAATGGAAAAGAGTGATTTCTATGGAGTAAGAGTACTGCATTACCAAGTTGTCACAATGTCTGACTGCAACTCTCACGGTTAACCAGGACACCCCTCAACCAACCACCCTAAGCAACCTGTTCATCAACACCATACAGTGACCTAGCACTGGCCTGTTTCAACACAAAGACTTTTTATGTTAATTAACATTTAAATTTAAGAGACTATTTTATCAACATACTGAAGCATTTCAATTTGGACGTGTGAAACATTATATAAGTGTAAAATAATACTATGATTAAGGTTGACACATAATAAAGCAACACATTATAAATAGTCTCCTTAGCAATTAAGAAGCCCACAATTCATTTATGAAATAAAACTTTTACACTTCAGATTCTATATACCGGTAGTGAATTAACAGAAAGATTGTAAAAAGAAAACTCTCTAACAAGATTATGCATTTTTCAAATAGTTATATTTAAAAATTACTTGTTATAATTTCATTTGAAAATCATACTTTGTTTACAATATTTTATATGTTAATGTTTTAGATAGCAACTTATTAATGAGATTGTCAAAATGTTTTAGAAGAAATGGATAGCTTGTAAATGAAAGAACACAACAACAAAACACTGTATCTGAACCATGCAGCCTATCAGAGTCTAGAGGCTGTCTCCCTGCTTCTCCCTGGGTCACTGCGCTGGGAGCCCGCCTGGTGCACGCAGCCCTCTGGCCTGGCCTCTGCTGTGCAGGGGGAGGAACACTGACAAATACAGTCAACTCTTGATTATCTGTCTGTGAAGGACCTAGTTTGTGGATTATCCGGGACTGAGTTTTAGCTGTCCTGGTTTCTGTCTTCCCACATGGATGGAATCTCAAGAATGTTATCTTTACGGGTTTCAACCTAAACAATACCTAGAAGAGGCAGAAAAACTGGCTTTTCACTAAAGAGAAAAAGATAATTTTAGTGCCAAATATTGATGAATTTATGAATATTTGCTGTGTTGTGCTATCAGTCCCCATTATTAGTTAACATTATGTTTTCCCAACCATTTTTTAAATTGAAATACATTTTTTATTGTTGATTTTTTTATTTTTAAGTCAATGCAGTTCAGAACTTCCTGAACCTGGAGAAGTCTCTCCACCCTGCTGGCCCCTGCTTCTCCCATGCAATGTTGGAAAGGGGAACTCAACATGTTCAGTGGAGGACACGCGGGGTTAGGGTGATGGAATTAGATGCATTTTTATGTTTATGAGCAGAAAGTAGGGGAAAAGAGGGCAGACAGGAAGTGGAAATTCTGAGTCTCAAGGCACTAACAGGGTTTCTCCTCCCTAAAAGCTGACATTGTGGGAATGTGCCAGGCCTCCAGCCACTCTTTTCTGCTGGCCATGGCCTCTGGGCCAGACCAAAGCCGAGGGAAAGGCAACTGTGCGGCGCTGCTCAGAAGCCTGCTGGCTACAAAAGCCATGAAGGTGCCGCAGCAGCCTTCTGCGGAAGCACGGTGCTGCTCCCACGTCCTTGTCACTGACGCTGCTGGTCACACTGACAACAAACCCTAATTGACTAATAAAGCTCAAAACCACTCTGGGCAGATGGCTGCCTGAGTGTTGAGGTTAAGAAAGGACAGCTGATGTGTGGAGCACAGAAGCACCCTAGTTAGAGAGAGTAATCTCCTGTGAGCTGATGAGAAGAATGGAGAAGCCTACACTATCCACACACATTTCTTATTTTAAATAGCCTCACCATAAGTTGAAATTATGGCTTTATGATTTAAAAAATCATTTTCAAGTCACTTAGTTTCAGTAGTAACAACTACCATTAATTTATCAGAGAAAAATCCTTAGAATAAAAGTTGGCTAAATAATGGGAATAAAATCTCAGTTGCTATGTATATTTTGCCAATTTTTTAAATTACTTTACATAGCAGTTTATACTTTTGTCCTTAAATGTTAATTATACAAAGAATACTGTCTACTATTTATGGGGAACTTAGTAAATTTTATCAGACACTGATCTAATTGTTTTTGCATGTATTGCCTCATTTACATCTCAATGATCATGATGCAGGTGCTGCTCTTAATGTTTCATTTAATAGATGAAGAACTTGAACCACAGCAGCTCAAGGCCACAATACTGGTAACTAATTGCACCAGAATCTGAACCCTTGACCACAGAAATAGCCGTAATCCTCATACTCCAATCTCATTTTCTTATACCAACCAGGATAAAATATTCAACATTATTCAAAGTTCCTCCACTTGAGAAATGTTGACAATATTTTCTGACTTTAAAGGAAATACCGTTTGGAATTTAATCTCTGCGCAATTAGGCCAAGAACCAAATTCCAGTGAAGTAACTTTGTCTGACTTCTGATGACTGGGCAGCAGACTCTTCCTATGACTGGTCCTGTTTCCCTACATGCACAACAGCTCATTAAAGCACCACAGACATGCTGCAGCCCATACGTCGTCTTTACCGCTCTTCATTTTCCATCTGCATATTTTGCACTTGGCATGTGAAACTATTAGAAGATGTAAGACAATTATAGGGATGTCAAGAGCAAGGAGAAAGACACTGGACAAAAACTGAAACTGTGCAAAGGTCCTTCTCCTCACCCTTTACCCGTCCCTTCTCCAAACACAGCGCTGACTCTGCTTAATGACTTCATTCCCGTTGGGAACCCAGGAGAAGCACCTGCTATACCAAAGAAAAGTGAGGGTGTAAGCACGGCCCCAGGGCCTCAATGAGCCACACAGAACACAAATGTTTAGGATGCAGGGGGGTGGACAGAGCACAGACCAAATGAAACTCCTGTAAGTCATTTTAACTAATAGTTTCAATGTATTTCCTCACCAAACCTCCCACCAGAAAAGCCAACCAGAGGCCAAATTGTCAAAATTAGGTCTTTTCTTTCTCTTTTCCTGTTTATTCTCAAAGCACATGGATAAAATGGAAGAGAAACAGTCTGGCAATCCACAAACTGGATAATGGCCCTTAAAACACCACCAAATATCAAGAGTTGACTATATCCTACACAGGGAAAAGGTTTTTTTTTATAGGAAAACACTGTCACTGATTTTGATATATCAAAACAACTTTTAATGATTAAATGAAAAAGAAGTCTTAAAATTTGCTTTTCTATCACTGCATTTTAGGACCCTCTCTCAGCTCTACATAGGAATTTTTGTAGCATTTAAATAATGATTATTCCCATCAGTTCTCAGTCTGATAGCTGAGAGTATCTTCAATCTTAAAAAACCAATTACCTCAATCCCCAAGGACAGTTATTGTTTTTTTCTTCTCATTCTTCCAAAATCTATACTATTCACGGAGTGCCAACGTGCAGGCTGCCCTTGGTGAAGGGAACACAGACCTCTAGCCCAGAAGAGTCAAAGGGACACGGGTGGCCTGCAGTACCTGCACTTTCTAACACAGCTCTAGACACCTAGCTTTAGATGAAGGATCAGGAGAAACCATGAGAGCACTAAGACTTCAAAAGAACCAAAATGAAAGCTTAGAGTGTGACTGTCTTTCAAAAGTTATATCCTATGTGTTGATCCAAAAATGAAAAGGATATGGGAGAAAAGATGAACTTTGAGTAAAAGCAACTTGATGGTGAATAAGGCTTGGTGGGCATACCTGATACCTGGCGGTCTGATTTTCAGAACTGGGATGTCAATACTGATGTAATAATCTAAATAAGAGAAACAGGAAGTAGAGGTAGAGGGATGGCACCACACTCTAGTAAAAGTATTTACAACACCCCTGAGCACAGTCTGGTGATGAAGATGGTGGTGGTGGCACCACAGTCTAGGACACAGGAGGTAGAGCCTGTGCTTAGTACCAGCTCTCAGGGGACACCCGGCCAAATATTCTAGAACAAAAACTGAAATTCAAAACCATTAGAAATAATTTCTGTCTAACAAACAGAAAAGCTTAATCTACAAAGTAAAGAATACAATTTGAGGTAGATTCTCCTATTATTTGTTATCTTATTTATCTTGTTTCAAAGTCATCAGAAGCCTGAGATGACCACAATGACATGGGCTCCCCACAGTCAAGGGTCACTCAACACCAAATTTAACTCAGTAATTTAGGGAAACCAGAAATTTATTGATCCCCAACTGTAGAACACTAAAAATCTATGAAGTGAGCCTAACACTCCTCCTTAGGGAAAGAGCGCTTTCATAAAGAATGGCAAAAAGATCTAAAAGTGGAGGCGATTTCATCAAAAGAGATTATTGATTACAAATAAAATTTTGTAAAACAAACAAACAAATAAATAACCAACAGCAAAGAAAAAAAACAAAACCCTATGCATTAAAAAGAAAAGGCGGATTCACTAATTTAGCTAACTCTGAAAATTCTTGAACTTTCTAAAATTTAGTGTAGAAATTAGAAAGCAAGTATAGCCATGCGAACACAGCAACCAATAAAAGTGCACTAAAAAGATAAGCACACTGAAAAATCAGGTGACAACGTGGAGAAACTAATATTGTTAAAACAAAGAATAAAAGGAATTACTAGAAGGGAAAATTAAAAGGAATATGATGTTAAATATAGACTAAAAGGGCACAGGAATGATGATATAACGTTGTTCTTCAAGTGTTTTTTTAAAAGGGATTAACAATATTAGGAGGACAAAGACTATGGTTTTTGTTTTGTTTTTAGAGAAAACGAATGTTGTAATTAGGAACAACAGAACGAAATAAGAAAAAGATCCTGGCCAGATGTTAGGAAATTCTTAAGACCAAGCCCTCCCTCCCAGGGTTTGGGATCCCCACCTGAAATAAAAGGCAAGTTCATTCATGATGTGAAAAACAAGAATAAAACACCCGTTGGTATACAAGGGAAAATATCAGACAAAAGTAGACTTGACCATTTCAATAGCTGGGAAGGAACTCCCTTTGCCCTGAAGGCTCTCAGGTTCTCTTCCTGAGCATTACTAGTTTGAAGTCCTCAGCGGCCAGGTGAGGTGAGCTGTCCCTGGACTCCAGAGCAAGGCTCCAGGACAAGGAAGGAGGTGTTAGTTACCTTGAGTTCCTGCAGCTGATCAGGCTCGTAGAGTTTGGGGGACAATGCCTGAGCCAGGAAGGCATCCAGCTCCTGACGACGCAGTATCCGTGCTCCAGGCCACTGCACCATATACCTGCGGGGTGGACAGACAGAGAGGGCCTGCAATTAGGATGCAGCGGTCTCCAGACACATGCATAACCTGGTGTTCAGGCTTATACAGACTTCTTACCCAGCTTTCCTAGTTTCAGTGATGATGCCACTTTCAAAACCCAATCATCACCTGGCCAATTAGCATTTTAGAGTAATTAAAAATAACACACTAAATTTATACATACTGCAAACTAGCTGGTTGGTGATTTTTTATATACGGCACTTTTGTAAAGCATTTAAATCCTGAAAGCACATACGTAATATATGCTGAATTTATATGCTTATCTACTTAATTCAAGACAGGATACCCAGGAGATGAATCCCTTGGTGAAGTGTCTCATGAACCATCTGCACAAGGGGACCAGCGGTGGCCAGTGAGTGTCAGGGATGAAGTGGAAAGGAAGACCAGGATGAGAATTGAAGCTGCAGTCTTCAGAATGCATGCCTACAGTCCCCGAGCACAGGTTCACTGGGGGCACCTGAGTGAGCAGCTGATGGGAAAGCAATTTCTACATCGACAACTTCCATTAGCCCGAGAACCACTAGGTGTCCACATGACCTTTTCCTTCCAATCCTCTTCCCCTTATTCACCTGGCAGTGCCGACGCCCGTTTCTGGTGAGAGCCTGAGGGACTAACCACTAAGAACTTGGTCATAAGTCCTGTTCAAGTCCAATAGTTCCTAATTCTCTCTACATCCTGCACACTTGAAGGGTGGCCTAATCAAGTTGCCAGCTGGTCACTAGAAACAACTTCTGGTGACAGATTCCTATGTCATCTCTGCATGACAAGCCTCACAAAGCGCTTTTTAGTCCCGTCTGCAAGGGAAGTTTTCTTGGGCTTAACATCTAAGTCAACAAAAAACGAGAATCAGAGTTGGTACAAAGCCCTATTTCTTTTTTATAACAATTAATATTCACCACAGGACCAGGAACTAATGGGAGAAGAAAGAGGTTCTTATCCAGTCCATTAAGAGAAATCTTTTCAATAAAAATCCCAGCACTGGCCGGCACCGGTTTGGCTCAGTGGTAGAGCGTTGGTCTGTGGACTGAAAGGTCCCAGGTTCGATTCCGGTGGAGGGCCTGTACCTTGGTTGCGGGCACATCCCCAGTAGGGGGTGTGCAAGAGGCAACTGGTCGATGATTCTCTCATCGACGTTTCTAGCTCTCTATCCCTCTCTCTTCCTCTCTGTGAAAAATCAATAAAAATATATTAAAAAAAAAAAAAATCCCAGCACTGCTCACCAGTCTAATCATTTATATGCATTGGTTCCTCACATGGTCACAGAAACTCAGAGCTTAGACACTTCATGGTAAAATTACGTAGCCTTAGTAGGAAGTAAATTACCCTCAAAGTAAAAGAACAGTGGATGTTAAATCTCTGTAGTATTTCTCTCTGATTAGATATACTTTAAAGAACAATGTAAAAGTTTTATTTTATTAAACTGCCAATATTTGCAATGACAAAAATAACATCCTTTACAGTGTTTCAGAGACACAAATATTAAATACGATGGTTTTATGAGCTCCATGCACAGGAAGTGGAAAGGAAGCCCGGGCGAGAATTAAAACTGGCCTTCAGGATGAGTGCTGCGGCCCCTGGAGCACAGGAAAGCAGCAGCAAATAGGGAGCAAGTCCCCCCACTTCTCTCTGAAAATCTATTGTGGAGAAGACTGTGCGAATGCCCAATGTTCTTTGCCTAAGCATCCATGTTAGCCCTTTATGTTTTAAAACTTGTGATGAAATGCACAACATAAAATTTACCATTGAACCATCTCTGAGTGAGCAGTGCAGTGGTGTTAGTACATAGTTGTGCGACTATTCCCCCCACCCCCCCCAACTCCTTTCCTCCCAAGCCTATGGAACACTGACTCCCCCGCTCCCAAGCCCTTGGCTAGATGTTACTTTAAAAATCATTAATCAGGGAAACAATATCTTGGGGGCAGGCTGTTTTTCTCAAGATCTTTCCTGGTTTTTCTTGCTGCGAAGGCTCCCAGAATTCAGTTTAGTTGCAGCAACAAACAGTCTTTTTGGTTAGAATATCTGCCATTTCCTCCATTTGGCTTCCTCTTACATTTTCACAGAGTTACCATTTACTTCTTTCTCACTGGAAGTCCTGGGAAAGCCTTCTGGATGCAGAAGAGTATAAACAGGAGATAAAGATATGCAGCTGCATAAACAAGTGGCTCACCACCACCCAGGATGGCACAGACGGTGCCCGCGGCAGCAGCTAGCACTGCACCCTCGGTTCTGCCCAGGTATGTCCACAGGACTCGGAGCTGCACTGACAGTGCTCAGCCCTCTACGTCGCTGTTTTCTCTGGACATTCTTTTCCACGCCTTCTCCTAGGCCTCAGGTTTCCTACCATGGAGGTGGGAGGGTATCTGCGGCTCTCTTTCCTCACCCTCCTCTCACTGCCCTTTACAAGTGTGGGAGCCAGAGCAGAAAGGGGGCACTGGCTCCTTTCTGCACTCCTCAGGTGCTGGAACAGGCTCCACTGGTTCTCTGGAGTCCGGTGTGGGGTTCAAGCCCTCCCTATCCTATTTCGGTTTCTGATTTAGGTTATTTCAGGACAAAACTCAGTCTGTCCACTCAGGAGAGTGTTAGCTCTCTTGGGTCAGGACCTCATCTGCTTTTCTGGGCTGCACCCCAGGAAAGGCCATCTGTTCTGTTCTGAACCCGAGCTTCACCCTCATGCTAAACTTCTTCTCAGACACTGGCCCCTCCTGGTCTCTGCTACAAGGATTCTAAGGATTTGCCCGCAATTCTTCCCCCATCCTCCAGAGTGCTGTCCTACCATCACAATTGGACATATGTCACATGTCGGTGCTGACAACACTAGTGAAAGTAGCAAGGAGACCGCCAGCTCCCTGACAGGGTGCGCCTGCCCCAGATGCAGAAGTGGAGTCTACCCTAAAGGAACACGACAAACAGACTGAGAGGCAGCCTCCCCAGAGGCTGACCAAGTGCAGCTGGGGGCTGCTACCTGTGTGCCAACCTGCTTCCACCTGTTCACGAGCATCCAAGATGACTGACTGACCCAGACCCCAGTGTGCAGAAAGCCAGGCTCTCTCTTCAGAAACGCCTCTGCATCAACCCAGAGAAAGATGAAAAGCAGTCGAGACGGGAGAAGACATGACAACTGATTTTGTTGCTAATAGATGCTATTAGAACAAATGGCAAAATCCAAGTGAGATTGGCTCGTAAAATGTACCAGTATTATTTTTCTAATTTTGATAATGTCCTTGACTTTTTGGAAACACAAACTGAAGAGCTTTAGATAAAGGGAAAGCATGCCCCCAACTTACATCCAAGGGACTGAGGATGTGAGGAGAGGAGCAAAAGCAATTGCAGTAGAACATGAGCGTGCAGGGAGCATGGTGACGCACAGAGACGAGCTCTCTGTATTAATCTCACAATTTCTTCCAGGTAGAAATCAGGCAAAAAACAAGATCAAAGAAAAGGAAAGAAGCCTTTGTGGGTGACAGCCTGGCCTTGGGATCACTGACTTTGCCCCACCTCAGCTAAGGGTCATGCCACAGGGGCTCACCTTGTCCAGGATGCAGGCTTTGCCCTCTCCCTGCCCCCAGCTGCAATGCCTCGAGAACCACCACTGGGCTGCCAGCCTGAGCCCACAGCCAGTTCTCAAGGTGCTCTAACCACTCGTCCTGTTACCAACTCTATTACTCGTCTTTGTCCAGTCCCTCTTCCAATCTGCCCCCACCATTCTTTACCCCAAGACTTCAGACCTGCTACTCAGCCATCCCCGTGTTATCAGCAGGTCATATCCACTGACCAAATACGAGGCTTCCTTCAACTACTATCCTGGGGCCTCAAATGCAGAAGGTAGAATGGATTCTCTTAGTGGAGTGAACCAATCCACTTATGGTGTCCTCGCCCCTTGGACTTGTCCCAGAGACACTGTCCCTCATTTCTCCCAAGCCCCTAACAGGCTGCTCCTCCTCAGGGCCTATCCCAGTCTCCCAAGTGAAAACTCCCTTCTCGGCCCAGGCACCTGCTCCACACACAATGGTCTCTCCCCCCAAGCATACACACACACACACACACACACACACACACACACACTCTACAATAAACACTGTCTTAGAAGTAGGGACCAGGGCAGTCCGGAAACCTAGGAAGACTTCATGAGGCCTCTTCTGGAGTAATGGCAGAGGGAGGTCCATGCGGACCAATCGCATGAAGAGAGGTCCGAGCATCCAGTGGCTGAATGCTTAACCCTGATAACCGAGCGGGACGTATAAATACATCAAAACGTAAACTATCGGGAACGGGTAGGACGTATGAATATGTCCTGAAAATATATGTTGCGCCTTGAGAGGGACGGTATATATTTTTTGTAATCTTTATAATTGTTTGTAAAATTTATAATTTTTTAATTCGATGTTTCCATTTTTTTGTTGGTATTCTTTTCTATTTTTTTGTAATTTTTGTATTTTCCTTTGTGCTTTATATATAAATAAATGAAAAATATATATATATCATTTATTTTAATTAAGTATAAATAAATAAAAATAATAATAATATGAAATTACGTCCTCCAGGCGTGACGTACTGACACGTCCTAGTGAAAGAGTACGCGCCCATTACAGGTTGCATAGTTAAAAAGGGAACTCCCCGGTTAACAGGTTAACAGACAAAACACAAGGGGCATGACTGCTGCACCCCTGCACTAATGCATGGCCACCTGTGTTCCAGGGCAGCCCCCTGAGCTGGTCCAGCAGGCTTTTCAGGCGGACGGTAGGCTGCCCACTAGACTAAAGGCCACACATCAATTTAAACTTCAAAGAGGGAAATACAAAGTAACCAAGTTCATTACTGCTAATTTGATTTTAGGCTACTCTTAATCTTAAATTTTTGGCTAATATAAGATGGTTTTTATTAATAAAAACCAGTCTATAAATGAATTTTCCATAGGAGGAACCAGATTCAAAAACCAAATAAAGAACTGGTCTTTCCCACTAGTTCATTCTCATTGGAGATAAGAGACTGCTCATTTTAGTCAACCTCAATTTAATTCAGGAAAGGCTTCTAAGTAAGTTACTGGCCTTAAAGTCTGAATTTAAGAAACTTCAGGAAATAAGCCCCTGACTAAAGCTCTGCCCAGTCAGCAGTCAAGCAGGTGTGACCCAGTAGGGGATCAGGAGCTGGAGAGGAGAAGCCAGCTCAGGGGCAGAACACGTGGGGCTAAGCCAGGTTAGGGCCTGGAGGGCAGCTGTGCCCAGGCTTTTACTGCTCTCTCAGCATCAGAGGCCACACGGCTGGGGAGAGAGAACTGAAATGGGCCGGTTGGAGGTGCCAAACAGAAGTCCGCCGGCCTATGGGTGTCTGTGTGCCTATAAACAGACCAAGAGGGCAGGGGATCTAATACCGCCCCCTCTCTTCCCCCACAACTCTGCCGAGAAGGCAGGAGGGCTCAGAAAATGACAAAGACAACTGTGGAGGGCAGCTGACAAGGCCCCTTCCAGCCTAGTCAGTGACGACGAAGCACCGAAGTAAGAGGTGGCGGCAGTGGCCTGGAAGCCACTGCAGACAGAAACCAAGAGCTCCTGAATGCTTTGCTTCCAAGCGCCAGCTGTGGAGTACATATCGTTATCAACGGAGTAGAGCCACCCTGGAGATGTCCCACAGACAGCCCCGTCACGTGCCAGAGTGCACTCGCACAGCCTGCACGGGTCCAGGAGTAGCAGAGGGAGAGCTGCTCCCCCCTCCGGAAACCAACGGGCTTCACCACGAGAGGGTGTGAACTGAAGACAGAAATGAAGTGCAGGTGCTGACTGATTCCAATGGCTATACTGAGACCTTACAGGAAAGTGTCCTAGTTTGTTAGAAAGTCACACTCAAGTAGTATTTGGGCTAAAAAGAAAAAAATGCCCTTGCAACTTTTCCTGAGTCTTAAATAGGTTAAAAGAAAAACATACTAAAAAACTAAAAAGAGAGATCCAAGATGGCTGCCCAGGTAAACACCTAGCCGCAGCCGCACACAACAATTTCAATAAAATACAACTAAAATATAAAATGGACATTACCCAGAACTACAGGAAAGTCGACTGACTGGAAATTCTACAACAAGAAGCAAGGAGAAAACCAGAAGGAAGCGCGGAGGAGCTGGAAAAGCCCAAGGTACGGAGACGCGCGGCACGGAGAGGATGGAGCCGGAGAGGAGGGGGAGGCGGAGTGCCTGGCGGGCGTTCTCTAGCGGGAAGGAGATAAAACTCCAACTGTGTTGGGCCCCTGTTCCGACTGCTCTGAACCCTAGTTCTAGGCCAGACCCCGGGGACCCAGGCTCATCCAGAGGGAGGTGGGCTGTAAGGCGGAACCCCAGGGGAGCAGCGAAAGGAGGCCCCGGCGGCACACAATGCAGAGAAGGGACGGCTGACTGTGCCACGGAATTGCCCTGGCGGGAAGGAGACAGGGGCTCCAGACTGCTCTGAACGCCAACTCCAATCCCACTACCAACTGAACTGAACCCCATTGGGGGAGAGCCTAGACTGTTTGGTAGCAGGCAAAAATCAAGGGCACCTTTCTCTCAGAGGCGCTTGCAACAAGTACTGAAGGACCCAGGGACCCAGGAGCCGCATAGGGCGGGGCTGACAGAAGCCAAAGCTGCAGGCTCCACCCTGAAACCCTGCCCCATCCAAGCAGAACACAGAGACTTTTAAGGCTACCAACTCAGGGAAGCTGCGAAAATGCCGAGACGAAATAGATCACAAACGAAAGACATGGAGGACAAAAAGCGACTGGATATAGAGTTCAAATCTACGCTTATAAGGTTTTTCAAGAATTTCCTAGAAAAGATGAATAAGACCTATGAGGATATGAAAAGGGATCAACTAGAATTAATAAAGAATCAACAAGAAATGATAAGGGATCAACAAGAAATAAAGAATACATTGACTGAAATAAAAAATATTATACAGAGTCCTAAAAACAGAATGGAAGATCGCAAGAATCAAGTCAAAGAGTTGGAACATAAAGAGCCAGAAGACACTCCTCAGCAGAAGCTAGAAGGCAAGAGAATCCAGAAAATTGAAGATAATGTAAGAAACCTCTGGGACAACTTCAAGCGAACCAACATCAGAATTATGGGAGTCCCAGAAGATGAGAGAGAGCAAGATATCGAAAACATACTGAAATAGTGACAGAAAACTTCCCCCACCTGGTGAAAGAATTAGACTTACAAGTCCAGGAAGCGCACAGAACTCCAACAAAAGGAATCCAAAGAGGACCACAACAAGACAAATCATAATTAAAATTCCAAGAGCAAAAGACAAAGAGAATATTAAAAGAAGTAAGAGCAAAGAAGGTAGTTACCTATAAAGGAGCACCTATACGATTGTCAGCTGATTTCTCAACAGAAACCATGCAGGCCAGACGGGAATGGCAAGAAATATTCAAGGTGATGAATAGTAAGAACCTACAGCCAAAGATAATCTATCCAGCAAAGCTATCACTCAGAATCGAAGGTCAGATAAAGAGCTTCACTAATAAAAAAAAAAGCTAAAGGAGTTCATCACCACCAAACCAGAATTATATGAATTGCTGAAGGGGGTTCTTTCAGAAGAGAAAGTAAATAAAGATAAAAATTATGAACAACAAATACGTAACTATCAACAAGTGAATCTAAAAACCAAGGAAATTAAAAAAAAAATCTGATGAACAATATTAACTGGTGAATATAATAGAATCAGAGGAAGGGGAATGAACTGATGATTCTTGGGGAAAAGGGGAGAGGGGGGTGTGGGAAGAGACTGAACATAAACTGTGCACCTATGGATGAGGACAATGGGGGGTGGGGAAAGGGCAGAGGATTGGGTGGGAACCTGGTTGAGGAGAGCAATGGAGGGGGGGAAAAAAAAGGAACATTTATAATAATACGAACAATAAAAATTTATTAAAAAATAAAAATAAATAAAATTTTTAAAAAAGGTGGCAACAACAAAAACAAAAAAAACCTAAAAAACCTGATTCAGGCATGCATGCCAATTGAGTTAATGCCAGTGTCTACACAGGCATCTGAGGCCTGTCATCTGAGAAGACCTAGAACCACAGCGCCCAAGTCTGGGTCTTCAGCCGCTCTCCGAGGAGGAGCCGGCCCCGCAGAGGGAGGTTGCAGGGCAGGGCGATGCGCGCGAGCCTAGGCATCACGTGGTATCAAAAAAAGCAAGAACATGCAGGGTTACAAAGGGCACTGGAGCTACTGACTGAGTGAACAAGGCCCGAGTAATCAAAAAAACAAGGACACTACATCAGTTATAATGCTAGAAATAAACTGGATAACCACAAGTCCATGCTGATATATATGGTTAAACAAATGAGCAGGAAGAAGAGACACCTTTTCCTTACAGAACAATCCCAAATAATATCCTATATAATAAAAGCCTAATATACAAATCAACCAAATGGCGGATCCACTGATGCGTACTGACCACCAGGCAGCAGACACTTAACTCATGAGCTGTCCCCAGGTTGCAGGCCCCAGGGCAGCCAAGACAGGTGCTGGGGGGGAAGGGGGGGCCTAATTGCCCCAGCAGTCACCCCGCAGAGGGAGGGGACCAGTGGCGGTTGTGGGGGGCAGGGCCAGTGAGTAGGCGGTGCCAGGCCGGCCAAGGCGGGTGCCTCCCAATCTCCCAGCTGGTTGCCCCACAGATTGGCCCTGATCGCCGACCAGGCCTAGGGACCCTGCCTGTACACTAATTTTGTGCACCAGGCCTCTAGTATAATATACTCTTCCGTGACTGCCTTCAAAATCTTTAATATTTAAAGACAAACTGTTTAAAATCATTATGTTTATACTAGAGGCCCGGTGCACGGATTCATACACATTGAAAGGAAATTAATTAGAAGGTGGCCGGTGGGCAGGACTGGGTGAGACACACCCTGAAGCCAACTTCCCACTGTTCCGCTCTGGCCAGCAGCACCCAGGCCAGCGCTGGGGCTTGAAAGGCATCTGTGGAGTGAGCAGGGTCCCTCCAGCAGGTGGGGTCCTTCTGCCCAAGTGTGCGAGAGGGCACTCTGCAAAGTTGCTGTTGCTCGGCAGTTCTTGCGTTGAGCATCTGCCCCTTGGTGGTCAGTGCACGTCATAGCTACCAACCATCAGCCAGTTGGACGGATGCTTAAGCTTTTATAAATATAGATAAAGTACATGTTCACCAAATATACCTATTCTGTAAACATATTATACAGCATCAATGCAAATCCACATTGCATTTACATGGCCTATATTTCCGTAGTTATATGTAAATATGAGATGTGGATGAATTTCAATAGATAACCCAGTTCACCTAGAATAACCCTCACGCTTCTCCCACCCCCCTCTCCGTACCATCACCTGCTGGCAGACATGCAGCTGCCAGAGCAGCCGTGCCACACCTACCGTAGGACACAGCACAGCACCGTGAGATGAGTGGGCACGCTGGCTGAGTTGAGCATGGCTGGAGTGTCTGACCTCATGCAGGCCAGGAAGGCCCTCATCCTGCGGTTCTTGTCCTCCACTGCCTTCCCCAGCCAGAGCCTCTTCAGGTTGGGGCAGGTCCACTCCCTGAAGGCAAGAGCTTCCACCAGTTCCGGAGTTTGTGGAGATTTCCCTTTGTAAGCTGCCCACTCCTTAATGATCACTGGTGAAACCGCTAGAAGGAAATCAGAGGAGAAGCGTTTATGCCCCATTTCAGCTCCTTTAACCCTAACAAAGTAAACTGCTCTAGTAATTACAGCCTGAAGATGTTACCGCTCAAGTAACAATACATCCTCTAGTTAGCAAGCCATTAGTCATCAGCTCTCCCGGCTAAGACATTTGTTGTTCCTCTATGTACTTTAATCCTTCATTTACATTTTCAGTGAAGCCACCAATAAATTTCTTCTCAATCAAATCATAACTTGATTTCCCCATATAACTATAATATATATGTAAATTTAAAATGTTGTCAAAATTTTTTTAATATAAAAACGCATTAGTAGTTTTATTAATAACAACTAGCATAATTCACAGAAGTATGTTATTATCACGGAAGTCCATGGAAAATCCAATTTAGATAGCTAATCTTTTTCTACATAGATAAATACTTCTAGTTAGATTTGAGAAAGAATTTACATTTGGTAGCCACTTTACTTAAGGACCTCTTGCTTTAACAAAGATAACAAAACATTAGCAAGAGCAAACTACCATGCAGTGAGACAGGAAAGCCCAGTGAGGCTGCAAGCAGAAGCAGCAGTCCACGTTAAGAAATCCAAGGTGACACCAGTATGCAGTAATTCTATTCAGCAAGACTAGAGACAACGTGTAAAGTGCTGCATTGTCACTTCAAAAAAAGCAAGAAATTCTAAGTTGATATAACACAAAACAATGACTTTTCTCCACAGTTGTTTTATCACTACTACTGTTGTTAATTCTTAAAACACACAAATATGTACATTCTTCCACATAATTTCCAAGGAAAGGAAAACCAGGCTGGGAATACAATGAAGACAAGGCCTACTGCAGAGCAGCGTGTTATGACTTAACAATCAATGGTAAGGTTTAGATGTGCACTTTGTAAGGAACATTAAGTATCAGAACTAAAGCAGAGCCCAGGGAGCTGCCAGCAGCCAACATGGAAGCCAGGACGGCACTAGGACTCTATCCAATGAGATCTTTCACCCCTCAATCCTTTCCAACTAACAGCAACCCTCCCATGGCTCATTGTCCCTAAAGTAATGCTTGGAGCAGCTGAGAGAAACCCAAATCCTAATAAAGTTAAATAATTAACGGGTCATCTCTAGCTCCATCCCAAGTCTAAATGGAGTAAGGCGAGAAGGAATCTTGTCAGAGGCCGGAGAGCACCAGGAGGCTGGTACTCGAACACACGCATCGAGGGAGCACAGGGGAAAGCAAGCTGCGCACATCCGCCCCAGGCAGCCCGCGGAGGCCATGCTGCAGAGCAGTGCTGGCCACACCCTGAACAAGGGTGAAGTCAAGGTAGTCCCAGAAAGTTCTCCTCTTACAAGAGTTGCTGTTTGGTTCCATTCATTTACATTTTAATATCTTCATGTTTAAATCAAAAGAAAACTTAAAACACTTAAAATGCTTATTTTAAAGTCCATCAAATCAAAACAGGGATACACATGTATATTCAAGTATATGCATTTTTGTGTTCATCAATATTTTAAGTGCCAGACACAAACCCAGTAAGCTCTCATCATCCAACAGACCCTGTCCTCGGACTCACAATCTACCACCCCTTCCCCCCAGTCCTGTCAATATCCCACAAGCAGAGTGTGGCCCTTCAAAACAAGCCATTACTCAGTTTCTATAAGGTTACACCACAAAATTCATTTTCATGCCAAAAAAAAAGGGAATAAAATGCATAAATCTATTTTTTTCTAAGTAATACCTTCATGTTGGTAGCAAAAATTTTTTTAAAGGAATTGAATTAGATTTATCTATGGTTGTAGAACTAGTTAATTTGACTCACTCCTCCCCCAAAACACACGCACACAAAGCATGAATTTCCTAAATCTTAAAAACCTCGGAATATAGTACCAGAGTCTATATTCCTTGGAGTTTTCTCCAGAGGCATCCATATGAAACCTATCTTCATTCATTCACTTCTCTCCCTTTCGTCAGCTCTGTCGTCTTTTATTACTTTTTTTCTTATTTTATGTCTTGTTTTTATTCTAGAAGTGAATTTTTGGTGGAGGACTTTCATCCTTACATTCAGAATGCTTACACCTCTACCTACTTTATGTTCCAAGGTCCTCCCTCAAAGGTAAGTGGAGGATGGAAATGCCTCTTGCAAGTGGCTGCTCCACTTGAGGCGTCCCTGAGCAGCTGTCCACACTAGCTCTGAGGGGCCAAAGTTTGCCTGCATTCACCTGGCACGAAGCTGTGTGCTCAGATCCCCGCCCGCCCCGCAGTGGCTAAAGGTGAGCCTCTCTGCACACTACGCCCAGGACCGCGCCGGGCTGGTGAAGGGCTGACCGATCCCCGGGACCTGCAGTCAGTGCCTGCCAGGAGCGCAGGATGGGGTGGGGAGACTGCAGCTGTGAGGAAGGTATCAGATGTATCAATGTGCTCCCATCCTTCTAAGCATTTTTGTTGCCTAGCAGCACTATTCATGATAAGAATGGCTCAAATCTAATTTCAGGAAAACATGTCTCTATCAGACAAAATAAGTGCGCAGTAACACAGCTCTGTTCCAAAGCAAAGCTGTTCCTGGCTTGCTTTATTTTTAACACGTGTGTATCTGTTTTTAAACAGCTCAATGTTTAGAGATCTTTTGTGTATACCACCACTTCATAGCTGTGGAACCTTTGGCCAGTTACCAGACTGGGCCAAAACGTGGGTCAGGCTCCCAGGGCGGGGGCACCAACTCCCAGGTGCCCATGTGAGAATTCAGGTTTCCTTAAATTCTGAGCTGGGCCTCTCTCAACTTCCCCGACACCCCACCCTCAATCCTGGAACCAGAAATGGCAAAAGGGCCAATGACTCACTCTGCAACAAGACCCCAAAGAAGGCACCTTACGCCCTTGTTATATGGTAATAACTGGCTCATTACATGAGATCAACTAACTGAAGATGGATGTTTTACAGATTAATGAATTCAAGTTCAAGGATCTCTGAAGTAAATATCAATCCAAGAGTCCTTCTGAGCCAGGCCGCCTTCCTGTGTCTCTGGAGCGTGGCTGTTCAAAGTTCTGAGAGGAAGAGGCAGTTCACTAATGCTAATTCTAGAAAGCTTTGTGGAATAAAGAAATTCAGATGAACAGATATAAGCAATCTTCATATATATTTAAAAAGTACACTAGTATTGATCATATTGAAGTACTGTGTGTAATACAATCCAGAGTGAACAAATTTACTTATTTTTAACAGCAGTCCCCCAATTATTTGACACAAAATTTTCAAAGCAAATTAGACCAGGAAAAGCCAATGTTCTCTTTGGCTTTTCTTGATAGTTTAAAAATTAAAGAATAAAGATGGAGCTATCCTTTATAAGAATAGTACTTGTATATGAACTTACTTTTTTTAAAAAAATATATTTTATTGATTTTTACGGAAAGGAAGGGATAGTTAGAAACATCAATGAGAGTCATTGATCAGCTAACTCTTGCGCGCCCCCTACTGGGGATATGCCCGCAACCAAGGTACTATATGCCCTTGACTGGAATCGAACCCATGATCCTTCAGTCCTCAGGCTGACGCCATAACCACTGAGCCAAACTGGTTTTGGTTGAACTTACTTTTTATTAATATAAATTCACCTCCTGTTTATAATTTATGTTCATCTACTGTCTAAAAGTCTGTTTCTTTTACTTACTTAACTTTGAGGTACTGGAGAGACTTACTGCAAACAAAAAGGCCAGTTTTATAAAGAGGACAATAATTTTAACATGTGAAACTCCCTGAGCTTCATTCCATGATTTTTAATTCTTCTACTATAGCTGAGGCAACTTATTGTCCTGCTTTATTTATTTATTTATTTATTTAATGTTTTAATTGACTTTTTAGAGAGGAAAAGAGAGGGGAAAATAGAAACATCAGTGATGAGAGAGAATCATCCATCGGCTGCCTCCTGCACACACCCTACTGGGGATCAAGCCAGCAACCAGGTATATGCCCTGATGGGAATCGAACCAGTGACCTCCTGTTTCACGAGTGTTTCAACAACTGAGCAACACCTTCAGGGCTGTACTACTATCTTTTCAGAACCTGAACTCTTTCTTCTGGTCCCTTCCATTCACTCTTGAGGAGCACGCTGGGAACCCGTATCCAGAGGCTGAGTAGTTCCCCTAGGAAGAAGAGCCACAGGCAGCAAAGGCCAGAGCTGCCTCCAAGACAGGGGCATGTCTTAAAGCAGCTCCCTCGTCTGATTTCACATACAAAAGGCCCAGGCTGGCTGAGACCATTGCTGTCTCCAGACAGCATTTATTCTAGCAGCTATAGAAGCAGCTTCCTGGTCCCAAATCCTCCACTGCACCACCCAGCTGCCACCTCCAGCTGCCACTGACACCACCCAGCACATCTGGGCAAATCTGCTCGTGTGGGTGTGGGGCCAGGAGTCTCTTGCTAGCCCCACTAGTGGGACATGGAATTCCACAACAGTGACTTCCGTAGCATATTGCCATTACAAACAAGTATTCTAAAGTATTCCTTGAAAGCAATATTATAGAACCTAGGAAAGGACAGAGAGCAATAGAAAATAATCTGCCAGCATGTAATAAAATAAGATTTTCAAAGACTATAATTTTTTTAGGATCTGATTGCACATATACTACTTTAACCATATAATGATCTTAAAGTGAAACATTGATAAATCACACAAAAATTTATTATAGATTATGATCAGTTAATCATAACGGAAATATGTCTTAAATTTAGTGAGAGTTAAATATTGTTAAACAACACTTCAGACTCAATATGCCTTTTAATGAATTCTTTCTGATGACAACCCTCCATGGAAACGCCTGTCACAGTGGCCACACAGCAACAGGCACCTGCATGAACAGTGTTCTGAGCTGTATTAGATCAAAGCCTTCACATTCTACAGTGGCTGCATCCCCCACGAGAATAGGCAGAGTCTCTGGACCCATGTAGCGTAGTTTTGGCTATCATACCACCAAAGTGGACGGCAAAGCCAGCAGGTATTTGAAGACAAATCTGTTCCAAGACCCCATGGGGTACTTTCACATGGTTTCTGAAACTTCTGCAAAGTCCCCCTGACTTCATTTCACCTAAGAATGATCGCAGTAAAACAAGATTTTAACACTCAGCTTGGAAATCTTGTCAGCCAACACCTCCCCAGAAACCGACCCAGGTCACCCTTTCAGCACCACCAGACACCGTCATTTTCCCATCTCATCCAGAGCATCAAGAAGCTTCCAGCATTTTCTCCTTAAGAACATAAACTGGATCGTCACTTAGCTGTCCCAGCATGGACACCTAAAGCTGGGCACCATCAGAACCAGTGGGCAGAGCCAGCTGGAATCTGATGAAGAGCCCCAGGAAGAGCCTTACCAACTGCTAACGAGGACAGAGGGTGGCAGAGCGCACAGACCCAAGACTCAGAAGATTCCAAAGACAAAGTTCAACCATGTGAAGACGTGGCTTGAAGTCTGGTTATGAGACTGGGGATGTGTATTACTATATATGAGCCTTTTCTGCAGGCTGACTTCCCCTTATTAACATAATGAATGCATGAAAGAAGTTCAACTTTATCAGCTCCACCAAAAGACCAAGATTCTAAAGCCACTTATGAATGTCTCACTCACCAAACTTACAAGCTAAAAAGGTCTCTCAACTTGCAAATTCAGAGGTCAGATGTATACATCTTCCACTGCTCTCAGCCATGTCTGAGGAGGAATGCTGGCGTGCCTTCCTCTTCCTTTCCTTCGCATCCCCCGTGCCTCTCCAACCCGACCCAGTTTCACAGAGTCCATCTGAGTCTTCCCAATCATATCACCCTCCCCCTTCATCCCTAATCGCTCCATCCCAAGGCCCTCCTGCCCCAGCCAGAGCTGGCCTGCTGCCGGCAAGCTGACCCTGGCATTTCTGAGATAGTGCTAGGCCCTGCGGTGTGTTCTACAAACTGCCTCTCTCTTGCTTATGCTCCGAGGATGCCAGTCCATTAGTGAACACCTACCCCTGCCCTTGCTTCCCCTACTGTCTGCCCACAGGACACCTGCAGCACCAGGTACAAAAGAACTGACGAGGAGGCGGGAGCATGCTGCATGTGGCTAGCTGTGCATTTTACAGCTGCAGACCTGCAGCAGGGCAGAAGAGCTCCCTGCGACACAGAACTTCCTGACCTGGCGGCAAGGCAAAGCAGTGGGAAGGACTCCCACTGCCCACTGCTGAGGGTGTGACCGGAGCACATCGCCCACAGTCAGGCTGCTGTGACACTGAAAGGGGGAGCAGCCCGGAATTCCCTGAGGAATGTCAGGCTGAGATCACTGAACACCGTGGAGGGTTCTGTTGTGCACAGAACTGTTCCTGGAGCACACAAATAAAAATAAGCCTTTCGCGTGAACCCAAATGTGATCCAGTGCTAAAGACATGGCAGAAGTCCTGCATGGTTCTGTATAGCACATGCATTCTATGCCCAGCAGAGAACCAAAGGGGAGAGGGGGGGTCCCCACAGCTGCAGAGACGGGTGGCCTGGGTGAGCCAGCACAAAAAAATGACCAATCCTGTGCAAAGTGAGAAAGGTCCTTCTTCTCTGAGCATTCGAATCATGGTGCAGGAAAAAGTGAGAATACGTACAACGTGAGAGAAAACATGCATCAGGAGCAGACAGGGCCTCTAAAAAGAGTGCCCGCTGATAAAACTGTGTTCAGGTGGCGCCTCTGGCCCTGACCGAGGCAGCTAGAGGCGGCCCTTTGGAGTCTGCACCCCCTTTTCCAGCTACAGTCACACGAACAGCCCAGCACCACTCTCAGCACAGCTGTCCTCAAGCAGGGTAGTGTCAGGCAGATGCTTCATTTTATGTCACAGTAAAAAGAAAGGACAACTTAAGACTCTATGGGCCTGAGTTTTCAGCATGGCTACAATCTCTGTGGTTTAATTCCAAAGATAAGCCCCACTCGTAAGCCCGTCCCGGAGAGGGTCAGCTGCACCTGTCCCCCCGCCTGCACTGACCTGGCCCCATGCAGGCGATCGTCACTACTTCTCCTTAGTAGGCGGACAAGACTGTAGTCGACAACTTCCACGGTTCATAATATTCTTATTTCAGACTATATGTTTTAGGAAACTTTTCCATATTGTCTATTAAATATACAATGACTTTTATATTTCCTATTAGTCTGTAACATTACCTAGAACAAAAAGGCACTTTTACGAGAAGATGGGAACTGCTTTGACTCAATGTTTGCCAATGTTTGAAATAATATTTTTGCCTTTGTACTTCTGCATCCACCCCAGAGCGGGTCAGCTGGGATCTGAGGGAAACCATCACACACATGTGCCCTTTGGCATCGGGGCTACATGCAACCACACACCGACCACACAGAGTGGTGAGCGGACAGCTGGTGGGACCTCCCAGGAACAGCGACCCCTGGAGAGCAGACACTGCCGTCTCCCTGCTTGAGACATGCTAGCCACAGCAGGGCAGTGACTGTCAGGGCCATCTGCAGGTCAGTTTAAGGCATAAACCTCCAGTTTTAACATTTTACCAAATAACCACCATTACTGGGATGCTACTGAGAGTGAAGCTCATGGTTGTCCTCCTTTCCTAAGAGCCCAAATGCAGCCCACCTTCGCTGCGTGGGGCACTCAGGGCGATCTCAGTCAGGATCCTTCTAAGGCGTTAGAAAATGCACATGTGATTATGAGGAACCGAGGAAAACAAACAATGGATTTCACAGTACATACATTCTGGTGGAAGTCTGTTCTTTCTAAAAGCAAGTCTCTCAGTTTTCTTTCTGCTTTCTGCCAAGCTAAACAGGACTCCGTAAACATACTGGCGAACTGGCCTATAGAGCAGGGCGGCGGGAGGCAGGTCTTTGCTGGCTTCATCTTCAATAGAAACAGCAATTTTGATTTCACCCTTTGCATGGAAGAAAGCAGAATAATATTGCACATTTTTCATGTTGAATTTACAATAAACTCAAAGAAATATACTGTATTATCTCCAGTTAATGACATTGCAATTCTATTCTAAATCAGTTACTTCACAACGTGTCTACAGGAAGATTTTTAGGGAGAGTTCAGTTAGTAGGTTGTAGCCAAAACATATGCTCCAAGAGTCAAAATAAAATCTACATGGTTTTATTTTCAATCTGGAACCAACAACAAAAGAAAACCACATGAATGATCCCAAAGTCTTTGAAACAATCTAGACAGAAAACATCAGATGGCAATAGGATAGAAAATGCTGAAAACTTGCAAATTTTATTTGAGTCAGGATGACCATATGCAATGAAATTAGTAATTTTTAATGACCTACATAAAATCCAAGAAACTGGTATCCTAAACATAAAATGGTCGGTTTTTCTTTACCAGCTTCTTCCACAAAAAACTGCCACATAGAACTCTCTGAAATGTTTATTTGTGAAGTTTTTGGCATGGAGCAGGCCTCCACCCCAGTGCAGCCGGTACTTGAAAGACCTATCGCACTGGGTGTGGGGCATAACAGCTGCTAGGGACAGAACATGAAGGACGCCAGTTCTGTTCACGGTCCCAGGAGAGCATGGCAGGGCCTCACTGTGGTGCGGGACCATGCCTCCAAGAGACAAATGACTACTGTGATCATCTGCAAAAATGCTGTGGTCCGGCCCTGGATATTTTATAGCATCGAGGTATAGCAAGAGATTTTGCAAGGAATTTTACTTACATATATTTATAACGTGAAAGTGTATTTATGACCTTCAATGTCTACTAAATTTGTTCACATATACTCTCTTAATAATACTTTCCTAACAGTTGCGTTTCTTTCACACAAATTTAGCTTCAGAATTGTTTTTCTCCTGACCCTCAGTACCTTCATGTGTTAGCATGGCGATCCCTCTCACCTAGGGAGTGTTCACTCCTCGTGTACGATGAGGTTTTCATAACTCTACACTCCTACCAGCTTCACCTCAGTGAGACTGCCTCAGCATAGACAACTCGATAACAGAGGTGCTCAGCTCACAGAAAGCAGCAGGCTTTCTCTAAACTCTCCTCTAGCACACTGAAAAATTTTAGGTGACACTTTAAAATCTGAAAAGACAATCAAGTTGACTTTTCTTAACCACAATCATTTTTATCAAAATTTGCCCTTAAGATCAGTGAGGAATGAAGAAGATTAGCAGTTTGCAGCACTCATATTGATCTAACAGATCACCCAGCCATGCCCGCCAGCATGGCAGGGCACTCAGCAGGGCCCGGGGACTTTATATCCCAACACCACCAGGGGAATGGGCGCCATCTCCTGAGAACCTTGGTCCCTTTAACCTAGCAAAACACTTATCCATCAACGGTAACTTTTCACTTACCCTTACAATTTATGTTGAACCTGAAAAATAAAATGTTTACTTTACAATCACAATTTCAAAAGTGGTACCTAATACATGGATACCCATATCAAGTAATAGTGGAGATTTAAGGAAATTACAATTTAAAAATAAAAGAGTTGAATAAGTAGTACTGGTCTAAATATTCTTTGGTTTATACACGTAAGAAATGTTGAATTAGTTAACAATCGAAGCCCAGCTGGGGTGCTGTGAAACAGGAGTAACTTTTGCATTCACTGCTTCCCTTTTACAAACCACAGATGGATTGCAGAAAATAGAAAGAAAAAAGTGATTATACAGGGTGATATACAGTAGATGCTGATGAAAACATATTAAAAATACATATAGTAATAAACCAATTCTGCATGAGAAGTCTGGTCACCAAGATAACATGTTAAACTATAAGTCTTGACAATAAGTACCAAGATAAAGACTACAAATTACTGAAGAAATTTAAATACACAAAGATCCATTCAAGACACCAAGAATCAAAACCAGTTAATGCCACACTGAATAACTAATTAAACATGCATTTAATAAGACTAATAAAGTGAAATTATTACACTAGGTAAAAGATAAATTGCATTTTCTTACTATGATATGTTACAACCCCTGTATTCCATTTTTTTGCTAGAAGTACTTTAAAAATTGTACTCAATGAGATGGAAGAACAAGTCAAAATACACAAAGTCCTCTCAGCCACCGACTAGGGGGCATTTTTGGGGCTGATAACCATATTTGACATTAGAATTAAACGTGACATTATGGCACAAATGCAGTGTAAGAAATTTTGAAGTTAGAAATAAAGAATAAAATTACAAGTCACAAAATAATATGATGTGTCATTAATTAGAAGTTTAAAAATATCTTATATGACATTGAAGGAGAAAATGAGACTTTTCCCATGTTTTTTTATTGTATTTAGAAGTAGATATTTTTGTTATTTTTTTCTCTAAGTTTAGAAAGGGGAAAATGAATTTTGTTTCAAAAAATTATAAGACAGAACAGTTCCAAAGCAAGCAGCCATACGCCAGGGGAGACACTGCACATACCTTCGTCAGGACGTGGAAGATGTACGGGTACATCAGCCCCTTCTTGTGACGGTGCTCGGCTACTCGCAGCACCTCGGGAGCAACAGGGGGCAGAGGCGGGGTGGTGATGTCCATGTGGTTCCTGGTGGGCATGGAGAGGAGGCATGGAATTGGCTGGACAGTGCCAATCTGGCTTCCCTTTCCGTCAGCAAGCTGGCTGCCTGAAGAGGCAGTGGACGAACCTTCTACCTACAGAGCAATGGGTGAGAGGAAAACAGATTCATGCCAAGCTGTCTGTCCACCTGTGATAGAGTCCTGTCTAGAAAGACAGAGTTAACACCTTCACCACCGGAAGATGAGGGAGCACTGATCCACCCCTGCGTGGACAGAGGGAGGGGTGAGTGGATGCTGTTTGGGGGGAGGGGAGCCCCACCATAAGGGCCCTGTGGGGAGACAGGAGTTTTCTGGGCTTGCTAACCCATGTGGCGAATTTCTGTGTTTACCTAACGCAAAGTAGGCATGGTCCTCTCTACAGATGAGGAAACTAATGCTCAGAGAGAGCATGTCATTTGTCCATGGCTGTAACCAGTACCTTCCAGTACCTTATGGAACTAGGACTCAAATCTAGGCCTGACTCAGATCTGTTCTTCACCAGCACAGCTGGTATCTAAAGAATAAAAAGCCCAAACACTTTGGATATTATAAAGCCCCCAAATTAATTACACAGGAAGGTGTTTATGAAAAGTTAAAGCAAAAAACAAGCTAATTCCACGAAAATGGGTGAGTCATATCTATATATACAGACACAGAAATCTGTGCCTGGTATATTATTAGTTGAAAACTCCCCATACTGTATAAATCACCTGCCAAAATAAGGAATGTGTGTAAATAAGTAGGAATGAGAGCAGAGCATCGCAAGGCAGTGGGAGCAAAGAAAGAAAAGGCAGAGGGGGCTCTTAGCTTTAAAAAATTTTAATTTTTTTTAAATAAACATTTTTATTGATTTTTTTACAGAAAGGAAGGAAAAGGGATAGAGAGTTAGAAACATTGATGAGAGAGAAACATCGATCAGCTGCCTCCTGCACACCCCCTACTGGGGATGTGCCTGCAACCAAGATACATGCCCTTGACCGGAATCTAACCTGGGACCTTTCAGTCCGCAGGCTGATGCTCTATCTACTGAACCAAACCGGTCTCGGCTTTATAAACTTTTAAGTCTGAATTATTTATAAAGAGCAATTATTATTTGTACAGTAAATTATTTTTCCTTTCTCACAATAAATGTTGGAAATAATACTGCTTATTGTTTGATTCTGTGTCACCCTAGATATATATTTTTCTGTTATGAAAAAAATATGCATTCTTTACAATGCTATGTATTAAGCGCTGAATTTTACCCCTTAAAACACAAAGCGCCACACTGGGTCGTAAGAAGAGCAATGCTGGGAACCTGCCAGTGCTTTCCCCAGGCCCGTTCCACAGGATGCAGACACTGGAAGGCGCCTGACAACGGGCATCCGTGAAGCTTATTTATAGGATCATCATTCACAGTGACAGTATTTCTGATATTTTGTCACCTTCTATGTAAACAAGCTTTTTCCAGCCAGAGACCATGTCATCTAAGTGATTGCCTAGCAGTGTTTCCCAAAGTGTGGTACGCATACCCCCAGGGGTACGGGAAGAGTTTGGTGGGGTACGCGTTGCACCGGAGTTTGGTGCGGATATGCACTGCACGTGCTTAGCTGCGTCTAATACATCCTTTTTTTTTTTTTTTTTTTTTTTAAATGAGAGTACTCAGTGTTACGAAAATTTGGGAAACACTGGCCTATAGAAACAGATGTGGCTTTGCAGTTAAAAAGATATTTTGCCGAACCAGTTTGGCTCAGTGGATAGAGCGTCGACTTGGGGACTGAAAGGTCCCGGGTTCGATTCCGGTCAAGGGCATGTACCTTGGTTGTGGGCACATCCCCAGTAGGGGGTGTGCAAGAGGCAGCTGATCGATGACTCTCTCTCATCGGTGTTTCTAACTATCTCTCTCCCTTCCCCTCTGTACAAAATCAATTAAAAAAAAAAAAAGGAAGAAAGAAGAAAGAAAGAAAGAAAGAAAGAAAGAAAGAAAGAAAGAAAGAAAGAAAGAAAGAAAGAAAGAAAGAAAGAAAGAAAGAAAGAAAGAAAGAAAGGAGGGAGGGAGGGAGGGAGGGAGGAAGGAAAGAAAAGAAAAGAAAAGAAAAGAAAAGAAAAGAAAAGAAAAGAAAAGAAAAGAAAAGAAAAGAAAAGAAAAGAAAAGAAAAGAAAAGAAAAGAAAAGAAAAGAAAAGAAAAGAAAAGAAAAGAAAAGAAAGGGCCCTGTTCTCACCAGGCCTTTGTGTTTGGGGCTGGTGTGACCCTGCAAAAAAAAAATTTTTTTTTAAATAAATAAATAAATAAAAATAAATAAATAAATAAAAAGATATTTCTATATATCACCATAAATAGCTAGAAGCAGAAAAAAGGGGAGGAGAGAAATGTAGTTTATTTTCATTTTTTCTGTAGACATACCAATGCTTTATCAATCCCCACAAAGACCCTATAAGATAGCGGTCACCAACCGGTGGTCCATGAGGTTGGCGCCTGCTATGAGACAGGACTCTGGACAGCTCTAATGCTTGGCCAGACTCTGCAGCCAGCAGACAGGTCAGATTTCCACCAGCCTCCTTCCTCTGCCCCATACAACTGTGATTCCCCTTCCCCCTGCCAATGTCTGTATTACTCACAATATACTGGAAAAGAGCAAGAGTGTTTTACTTTCAAACAATTCCTACTAGCACATGCTGAAAGAGCCAGGGCTGGAGGGGTATGGGAGGCGTGAACCTATACCTTTGTTTGGTCTCCTGGGTCTCCCCGCGCTTGAGGCTCCGAGTGGCTTCCTGTCTTCTCCCAGCCAATTTTGTTCCCACTGACATGGCTGAACATAAAATGCACATGATTACTGTTAGTGTCAACTACTTCCCACACATGCTCACGATGATAAGAAGGGCCTGTGGTATGGACTCAAGAATAACCCTTGTGCTTTACTAATCTTGCCACCCAATCCATCTCTAAGGAGAACCCTACACAGGAGCATTTCTGCCCGTTTCCAGCAGGCAGGTGATAACCACTCACCGGGAAAGAGAAACGAGTGCCTAGCCCACGCCGACCACTCAGCTGAAATATGGTCTGGGATGTGCTGGCGCCACGAGATACAAAAGACAAAAACGCAACAAACACAGCCTTCCTTTTATCTTAGAGAAACGAGATTAAAACCCCCACATTTAACTGACAATTATCAGGCAGTGGAATGTTACATGTTATCTGAATCACGTTACTCATAGTTTATAAATAATGCAGGGTATTCTGTGCCAAGTGGCAACACACAGGGAGGCCAGCCTCCTCATGGGAAGGGTCGTAGGAGAGAGCGAAGACGTGGGTGACACTCAAGGCCAAGTCAGAGTGGATGGCACCTTCCAGGCCCCAGAGAGTTTGTGAGCTCAGAGACCAGGGAGTTAACTGAATTTTATTTGGGGAATCACTTTACTTGGCAAAGCAGTAAAAAATACAGTGGGAACAAGAGATGGAAAAGATTATGGAGTATCTGAAATGCCAGAATGACGTATTTTAAACAGCATTTTTTAACTGTGGGTTGTGACCCACTCTGAAAACAACCTAGTGGGTTTACGCAGCATTTTTTAAACACTAACATGGAACTGAACGGAATGCAGTGTATGTGGTATGAATGGTATTATTTCACAAATTCTTTGCTTGTTTTTTCACTCCAGGCCACGATGTAAGAGAAGGTTATGAGATACAAGAGGTGTGTGAGAGCATCCTCCTGGATAGAGCAGGGAGCCTGGAGCAGCCAGAGCTGCAGCTTGGCAGACAAGACAATGCCCGCTTCGAGACGGCGCCCCTTCACTCACCCTCCCCAGGAGGCTCTGAGCTCAGAGGGCCTTCTAAAATCAGTGCTGGACACAGGCATGCTAGCAGAGAGAGCCTTTCACTGGCTCGCCCTTCTTGCTGACGCATGTGACCGGCGGAGAGACGTTAAGACCTACTGATCCTCCTGTCTTCCACAGGTGCCCAGCCTGTCACCGGAGAACCCGCAGCTAGGTCTTTGTCCCGCCCTGCGGAGCCCCAGGCCCCTCCCGGACTCACTTAGGACATTCAGTCGCTGTTAGCCTTTGAGAGGTAAGAGAGTGAACCTCAGCAGGTCTGCCGCGCATCTCTCCGATGGTGAAGATAAGCACCTTTCCATGGGTGACAGGACTTGTCAAATCGTCTGAACATTTTCTACATATTTCTTACGGACTTATAGGAAGTCAGCACATGTTCTGGATGCAAACTCTTAGTTGGGAATAAGGATTAGAAGTATCTTCTCTACCCTCTTGGATTGCTGTCCCCGCCTCTCCAAGGTAGACTGAAGTTTTTCTATGTGATGCCTCATCCTATAGGTCTTGGCTGCAATACTATCCTAATGCAGTCTTTCTCAGCCATCCTCCCACCACCTTTCTCACTTATTCCTTCATGGCATGTACCACTTCCTCATGATCTGTAAGTATTGTCTATTTAATAACTAATTATAAATTGTGAGGATAGAACCTAGCAGCCATCATCGAGCAGGTACCCAACTACTAAAGATATATGGCAAAGAAGACATCTCTCTTACGTGACACTAGAGCCTGGTGCACGGAATTTGTGCATGGGTAGGGTCCCTAGGCCTGACCAGCGGTTATGGTTGATCTGTGGGGTGATCAAGGACCCTGCTCACACTGAAGAGGCTAAAATCCTGAGTTAGGTATTTTAAAAAAGAGGGGGGAGGGGGCGCGAGGGCGGAGAGATCTGGGCCTGCCCAGCACACACATATACATGTGTATATACATACACACCTATACTCCGCCCACTTCCCTCACTGACCTTATTTTTTAAAATAAATGTTTGCAAATGTCATGGGTTTAAAAAAAAGTGTCATGTTTGAATTTGCATTCCTTTGATTTTCCCAGTGAGCTAGAACATCCTTTCCTATTTTATTGACCATCTGTGTTTCCTCTGACCCGCATGATTATAGTCTTTGCCATTCAGAACACTTTTCTTTTTAATTTGTAGGAAGCTTTTTTTCTGGTGGTGAGGAGGATAATTCTTTTTCATTCTATAACTTGTGACCCAATGCACGGAATTCATGCATAGTGGGGAGGAGGGGTATTCCTCAGCCCCGCCTGCACCTTCTCCAATCTGGGACCCCTTGGGGGATGTCCGGCTGCCGGTTTAGGTCATAATCTAGACCACTGGCTCCTAACCACTCATCTGCCTGCCGGCCTGATCTCCTCTAACCACTCTGCCTGCCGGCCTGCTTGTCCCCATCTGCTCTCCCCACCAGCCTTCTCACCCCCTATTGCCCTACTCCCCAACGGCCTGCTCGCCCCCAACTGGCCCCCTCTGCTGGCATGAGTTCGCCCCCAACTGCCCCTCCACCAGCCTGCTCACCCCCAACTGTCCCCCTTGCCAGCCTGGTTGCTTCCAAATGCCCTCCCCTCTTGGCCTGATCGCCCCTTACCACCTCTGCCTCTGCCCTGCCACCATGACTTTGTCTTGAAGGATGCCTGGAAGATCTCCTAGTCTAATTAGCATATTACCCTTTTATCAGTATAGATAGTCCTATGACCCATCAGCTCCGTCCTTTAAAAAAATCGTTGATGTCTGTTAGGGAAACAGTATCATTTACTAGTATTTTATGGACCCACCTGTGGACAATACAGTGGAGGAAGTATAAATGCCAGAGGGAATTGAACAGGGAAAAGTGACAAGGAACCCTGGTTGGTTTAGCTCAGGGTTAGAGTGTTGGCCCGCAGACCAAAGGGTTGCAGGTTCGGTCCCCGACCCTGTCAGGATTCATGTGGAAGGCAGGCAATCAATGTGTCTCTCTCACATTGATGTACTCTCTCTATAACCCCCTCCTCTCTAAAAATTAATGGGAAAAAATATCCTTGGGTGAGAATTTTATAAAAAAGCGATGAAGGGTGATGTGATGAAGTGAGAGAGGGACACACCCAGCTGGGTGGTGGCAGATCCCCACCTCTGCTATTGCACAAGTCAAGGTTATAAGAATAGCGACACAAACATTATAGTCAACTTGCAGAAGCTGTTCCAAGAGGCGCGGAAGTCGGGTTTTGGAGTAATTTCCAGCTAAATGGCCTAGCCTCCCAGATGCCTGTCCATCCCAAGGATAATGACACCAGATCAGAGCAAACTCATTTCCAAAGAATCACTGGATCTCTCCAGCTGCAGGGCCATTCTAAGAAAGCACTACAGATATTTCACGTCACCGAGAATAATGGTCAGACTCCACCATCCAGCCTTCACCTTGCTAGACCTCCTGGTCAAGCCACCTCTCCTTCCACCCTACATCGTCCAGCTCAAATCTCACCTCTCGGGGAAGTGCTCGCAACTCCAGTCCCTCTTGTCCGGGGTGTGTTGTTCTTCATACACTCATCCCTGGGCTGTTCACTTCTTTGCAGACTGCCCACACCACACCTTGTCTGTACTGCCCGCCACATGCTCACTGGTAGACACAAGTGCTCAAGTGCTGCTTGGCTGAGTGGATAGGTGATTTCTTTCCCTCAAGACCACCTGAAAGCACGTTGTAGGTTCAGGGGTCTTCATTCACATCCAAACCAAAAGCAACCAACCACATGTCCTCACTTTATGCTCTCACGGGGTTTGAGCTGGGAAAGCAACCCTCTAGCCTATGCAGGGTCTCAAGTGCAGACACATGACGCAGCCAGCAGGCTAGAATCTTCACCCTGGAATCAAGAACACTGCCCTTCTTTAGCATCTGCCACAAGCGAGGACACCTATGACCGGGGCTGATCCCAGGTCCTAGGATGCCTGGCACATAATCCTGAAGCCTCAGGCACACATTGCTAAGCCGCACTTGATCCACTCTTTCCCTTGCTAGCTGTGGATGTGCTCACCACACTTCATATCACAAGGATGGCGGATATCCCTGACGACTCTACACTGAGTCCACCTTCCAGAAGCTTCTCCAGAAAAGGCAGTGAAAACACTAAGCTGAGGATGTGGACAAGTGAGTGACAGCTCAAATTGGCAGAGGTGACTGAAATCGAGGACAGTTCCAGGGAATGTGATGTTGGCCAGTACCTTTGGGAACAGGCTGGAACTGAATCAGTACCACAGAGGGAGGAGAAACCTGACTCACCCCAAGTTCAACTCAAGTCCTAACTGGGCAGTGTGCCAAACTGAGCTGGCAGCTCGCATCATCTCTGATTCCCTACCTGACAAAGCAAGGCTCCACATGCCTCCCCATGCCAGGCCTCTGCCGGCTCCCACACTCGCCACCACAAAGCACATATGCCTCAAGTCTACCTGTGCTTCAGTCTGGAAAGAATGTTTCTCAGTAAGACGACCATGTCCTATACAGATGCCTTGATGTTGTTGACATGAGTCAACTTTTAAAAGAAAACTCATAGCCAACACCGGTTTGGCTCAGTGGTAGAGTGTCGGTCTGCGAACTGAAAGGTCCCAGGTTCGATTCCGGTCAAGGGCATGTACATTGGTTGCGGGCACATCCTCAGTGGGGGATGTGCAGGAGGCAGCTGGTCGATGATTCTCTCTCATCGATGTTTCTAGCTATCTATCCCTTTCCTTTCCTCTCTATGAAAAATCAATAAAATATATTTTTAAAAAGTAAATAAAAGAAAACTCACAGAATTCGAGTGGAAGGGGTTCCGAGACATCCATCAGCCGTTTTTAGACTTCCATGAGCTAGAGAGTCACATGTACACGCACACACCTTTCTGAGCCCCAGCCCAGAAATTCCCACTCAGTACGTCTTAGGAATATTTCCTTTCCAAAAGGTTTACTCAAAAGTTTGAATGTTATGACTTTTCACTTCATTTCAGGATTTTAGGATTGCACATGCAGTAAGAGTTTATGCCATTTTATGCTTCCCTGCTTCAGACAGTGCACAATCTCTGGATGACAGCAAACTCCTTGGTTACTGCTGCTTGAGGTCAGCAGACATTAGTGCCCATTTTACAGATGAAGAAAAAGAGGACAAAATAGGAAAAATCTACAGCATCAGTCACTTGCAGGAAGAATCAAATCCTGCACATTTCTTACAGCAGAAATCAATGAAGTACTAACAAGCCGTAGGCATCTACCGGAAACTAGAGTTCCAACCCAGAAAAAGAAGATAAGGCTATAAGAAAAGACCCGTTTTCTTTTCCTTTCTCCTTTAATTTGAATCAGGATTCTTAGACGCATAAGGAGATGAAAGGAGGGAAGGAAGACTTCCTCAATCAGATTATAATGAATTATGTACTTGAAAAGCTGGGTCTGGCAGCTTTCTAGGGTTTTGATTGGGTGAACAGTGTTATTTCAAGAACAGTCCTATGAATTGTTAAACTCAGGAGCAAAAGAAATTCAAAATTCCCATTGGTCCAGGACCTAGACGGAAAGCCACAGGCGTCTAACTTAAAATGCTTCCTGGGATGGGGGTAGGATGAGAACAGCAAGAAAAACCACAGAGTAAGTCAAAAGGGCTTGAGCAGACAACCTCACCACGTTTGGAGGTCACATAGACCAATTTTCCTAAAACTCCACCTCAGCAGAGGAACACCGGGCCAAGGCCACGGGCTGGCGGCAGACTCAGCGGGAAGCCCTGTGCACATGTCTAAACACCTCTCTCCTCCATGTCTGAGGAGCACTGAGCCTGGCACAAAGTAACCCTCACCTACCTGCAACCAGCTGCCTCTCTGAGCACAGCACGCAGTGCCACCGGCTGGGCTTCCCCAGGGACAAGCTACACAAGAAACCCACCACTCACTTTGCAGCTCCTCCACTGCCTTCATCGTTGTCTGAAGATGACGATGTAGAAGAACCAGGAAAGTACGCTGAGTCCACATGATTGGGGCTGCCGCTCGGAGCGGGGTTGATGGGGGAAGACCTTTCATACAGTGGAGTATGCTTTCCTTCGTGAGGAATGTTATTGTAGTTGTTCTGCTCAGTCAGATTCTTTCCGCTGGTTTCCAAAGTGAGGGCCGGCTCAGCGAGGCTGTAATGGGGCGGCCCCTGACCCGGAGCACCTGGGTTGGGCCCCTGTGGAGCCTGAAACAGAGGGCAGAGAGGGCACAGGTCACACACGCACAAGCTACCTAGGGGACCCCGCTCCCGTTAGCATTCTTGGTCTTGGCTGCAGTTTTAACTCAACAAACACTGGCACCTGCTTCACATATCAATTCAAGAGCTTAAGACATTATTTAGTGTTTGTTACGATTTGATGCATATGTAGCTAGCAAGGCCAGCTGTCCCCCAAGGCAGGCAAACCAGCTGCAGAAGCAAAGGAAAGGCCTTACCACGGGCTTGGCTTGCAGAGAGGTCTGTGGAATGTTGAGCATCTGGGGGGGAACATACGGTGGCACTATCCCAGGAAATGCAAACGGATGTGCTCTGGCTGTTTCATCAACACGGAGAGAAAACGACAAAACAACTGTGAGCAGAGGACACCTACCTCCCTAGGACATTGTGGTGGCCAGCACGTGTCCCATCTGTCTTGTGTGTCTCAGATGCCAACACACCGCTGGTCCCACTTCTCAGAAACCTTTAGGAAATCGTCTTTAACAGTAAAAATATTTTATGACGATCAATTTTATATACTGGGACTAGATTTTTAACTTTCAAGAATCTTCAGTTAACTTCTGATGTCGTGTTTTTGCTTCTGTTTCCTCGAATGCCTAGTAAATCCATCGTTAACTGGCCAAGCATTCTCGTCCACCTGTCTGTCTGCTCACTGCTGACAAACCCCGACCCCTCAGTCTGTAGCACTAATGAGCAAACAGGGCAGAACATGCCCCCTCCATCTTAAACAGAACTTCTCTGTGTAAGCTCACACTAGGTTCTTAGCTATTAGCAAACTTTTAAATAAAAAAAATGAAATGTGGTTGTTGCTGCCCATACTTTGTTGTTCATTGTTAGCAAAACCATGATCAGGTGACACATTTTAACATGCATTATAGGATCAGTAATGTCGGATGATGTGTTCTCGAGAGCATGCTTTTATAAACCTATTCTGGTGTACGCTGGCATTTGTTCATTATCTTCATAATGGACAAGCGGTTGCATACACAACATCAGGACGGGGTCTGATGGAGACCCCGTCTTCTTGGAGAAGCGGTTGCATACACAACATCAGGACGGGGTCCTGTGTCAGCTTTAAGATGTAACAACAGCCAAAACCGGTTTGGCTCAGTGGATAGAGCGTTGGCCGGTGGACTGAAAGGTCCCAGGTTCGATTCGGGTCAAGGGCATGTACCTTGGTTGCGGGCACATCCCCAGTAGGGGGTGTGCAAGAGGCAGCTGATCGATGATTCTCTCTCATCGATGTTTCTAACTCTCTATCCCTCTCTCTTCCTCTCTGTAAAAAAATAAAAAAAATATATATTTTTAAAAAGATGTAACAACAGATCAGTCAACCTGACCAGCAGCCCGGATACTTCCACGTCCATAACCCTCCATGTCTCCCTACAGGGCTGAGAAGTGGTCAGGGGGTGCAGTCAGCCACAGAGTGAGCATTCAGTGACAAGGAGCATGGCCTGATATCAAAACCACTGCCTCCTTCCTCCCACCACGAGAACTCATGAGCCTTGGAAGCCACGTCCCTTGGAAGATCCTCTCAAAGTGACTTGCACTCAAGGTCATGGATGTCCTGCTCCTGTGACCTGGCTCACAAGAAGTAAAAGCTCAACCCATTTTCACTTCCCACCAAACAGAGACAACTGTGGGACAGTAGCTGGGGGTGATTATGTTGCCTCGTCTACATATGGAGCTGATGGCACATGAACACATGTTCACCACATACACACTGGCATCACACACACACAAACACAAGACATTCCTGATCAAACAGTGAGTCTCTAAACATTTAAACCTCCAACTGGAAGACCCTGTAACTGTTCAAGTTCCTTCTCAGGTGAGAATATCATGAAATCCATTCAAGCTCTAATAATGTAATTTGAATCGCTGTAAAAAATCTAGTTTGCAATCTCTTGTAGCGGACCTACCACACTTAAACTCCTGAGCATACAAATGAAATGCTGAATGCAGCCATCAGCATGCCAATGAAGATGAACGTTTTTGTTTCACTCTATTTTTGGCCAGCTAGTGAACTAAGACTCCCAGGGCTGCAGAAATGCCCAATACCCCGGGGCCTGTCCGTGGGAACCTCATGTCTTCTGGTGCTGGCAGTTCTCAATCTCTAAGCCTCGAGCAGCTAAGCAGAGGCACAGCCTGTCTTCCATGCGACAAGGGCATCTTTCTCAGAACGGGCGCTGACTCTCGGGCTGGAGGGTAACACCACCAGATCCTTGTTCTCCTCCTTGCACAAACACTAGAGAGGCAGGCTTTGTTAGAAAAGTACAGGGACTGAGGACAGAAGACAGGAGAACAATGTTTAACATGAAAATTTTTTTCGTCCAAAAACTATCTTTTCAATATGAAAGATCTCTTTGAGAATGAAAAGCACCCATTGCAACCCTTACAGCTGTGCTTAGATAGCTGTGAACTCTGGAAGAGAAGACATATCATTCCAGACTCACTGCCTCAAATTACTTACTATGCTTATATGAAGTTGTTCAGCTTTTCTCTAACTCAAAAGAGATTTTTGTAAAAAGAAGGGTATCCTAAACCAGTTTGGCTCAGTGGATAGAGCGTCGGCCTGCAGACTGAAGGGTCCCAGGTTCGATTCCGGTCAAGGGCATGTATCTTGATTACGGGCACATCCCCAGTAGTGGGTGTGCAAGAGGCAGCTGATCGATGTTTCTAACTCTTTATCCCTATCTCTTCCTCTCTGTATAAAGCAATAAGATATATTTTCAAAAAAATAAAAATTAAAGAAGGGTATTAACCAAGAACAAGAAGCTCTACTGTGAACTAGTTAGCCCTACCTAGCAAATACTTAATCTATTACTGGACATATTACTGAACATATTTACTACAGAGATGCTACATTAAATAAAACAAAGGGTAATAAAGTAATATTTTTTATAAGTTGTATTTGCAGGTGGGTGCTGATTTGTGATTTTCAAGTGCTAATTATAAAAGATATATCTTTGAAAATTCAGATTCCAGGATTAAATAAATCAATATATTCTCTACCAATTAACTCTCCATGCTTGCAAAAAACAAGGCAGAATTTTTCAACTGCATTAACCATGTTGAAATTGATTTACAGATGATTGCCGAACAGCACGGGCTTGAACCGCATGGGTCCACTTATATGGGGATGTTTTTCAATAAATACAGTCAGCCCTCTGTATCCTCCAGGGTTTCACATCCAACTAACCTCAAATGGAAAACAGTCCTTTCAATCTGCAGTTGAGAGCCTGCAGATGCATTGCTCTAGGCCCATAGTCAGCAAACTGCAGTTCGCGAGCCACGTGCGGCTCTTTGGCCCCTTGAGTGTGGCTCTTCCTCAAAATACCACAGCCTGGGCGAGCCTATTTTGAAGAAGTGGCGTTAGAAGAAGTTTAAGTTTTAAAAATTTGGCTCTCAAAAGAAATTTCAATCGTTGTACTGTTATATTTGGCTCTGTTGACTAATGAGTTTGCAGACCACTGTTCTAGGCCATTTAATACAAGTGACTTAAGCATCTTGGGATTTTGGCATTGGGGTGAGGGTTCTAGAACCAATCAATTTTTGTAGATACAAGGGATGACTACCATTGGGTTTTGGGGGAGTCAAGTTATATGGAGATTTTCAATAGCACAGGGGATTGGCACCCCTAACCCCACATTGTTCAAAAGTCAAATAAATATTACTCAGCATTAATAGTCTATAGAAGCTAAGGCGTATGTAGTTATATTGTGGGTTTATTAAACTTATGCTCGAGCACAAGGGAGGCAGCACGGAGGGAAGGGCGATCCTCTGAGCCAGCTTCACAGCTGGCTCTGCGTGGCTGCTTTTATCAGCTGGTGGCAAAGTGGGCTGCGGGGAAAGGCAGACTTTTCGAAAAGGTGGGCTGTGGGATTAATTTCAGGATTCAGGTGAATTCCTTTTGCCTGGTAATGACTTTGCACCTGCGCTGAGGGTGTAGGATGGCAGACTGCTCATTACTGCCATCCTAGGAAAGGCCAACAGTGGTCACACCTTGGTCAACTGCACATTTGATCAGTAGTTTAAGCAGGCAGTTGAAGGGGAGATAAAATCAGCTGCCTATGTTTTTGAGTAGGGAGTGAAAAGGTGGTGACACTTTTGCGGCCCAGTGTTCCTTCTGGCCACCTGGTATCCTTGGGGCCCGGGGCCTGGGCCACTGTGTTATCTCAACATGAAGGAGGATTTCATGTAATTGTTTCCATTCTCTCATAGAGGAACAGCTGAAAGCAGGATGGGTGGAGGCACAGTGGGAACTGACCTGACCACTGGCCTACGGAGTTCGGTCTAACAGGCCAAGCCTCCTGAAGGCCAGGCAGGAGAGCAGAAGCAGGGAGGAAGGGGACTTCGGGGCAAGGGGACACAGGAGGCATTCTCAGCTTTTAAAAAAAGGACACTTATAAGTTTCCAGTGAGCACCAACTCTCAGAAGCCCAGAGCTGTGCGGCTGATGACTGCCCAGAGCTGCAGTGCCAGCCAGGCCACCATCCAGGAGAAAAGCCCTCACAACAGAAGCTTCAGTACAGGCTGAGACCAGGAAGATCACGACCAAACAAGCAGGCTATTCTGAGTGGCACATGAAGGAATTACAAAATCAATCCAGGGAAGCGTAAACATTCCAGGTCAACGTAAACAAGAACTTTCTGAGAGTAAGGGTGGATCAGCAATGACAAGGGCTGCTCTGGCTGCCTGACTATGGGTCCAGGAATGTTCCAGCCAAGAGGGGGCCTGGAGCCGGGACAGGCACCCTTGCATTTTATGACCCTGAGTTTGGGTAGCGCACATGTGGTCCTCACAGGATACAGTACTATTAAGTCCACCTGGTGCCTGAATCTTGAATAGCAAGAGCCTGGGTAGTGACAGATTCATCCCAAATTGTATCCAAATCTATTCAATTCCAGGGCTCACTGAATCAGAGTTTGAATCACGGGTGTTTAATAGAAAAAGGTTCCTGTGCTTCCACTGACTGAAGATTCAGAAAGTAAAAAAGGACACTCTTCTCACCCTCTTACATGGTTTCACGTCTATGATAAAACACGACAAATCTGTTTCTGCTGATCTGTGTATTTTAGAAAAGCAAACTTAAAACCACAGCCTAATGGCCTTTGTTTGGAAGTCACTGGTGAGCTGAACTGGCATTCCTTCTCGTGGGAATACACACCTTGCAGTCAAACCAGATAGCAGCCCAAAAGAAGGATGTATTTTCACTTCTTCCAAAATGACTAATTTCCAGGTTTAAAAACACACCAAACTTTCAATAAATTCTAAGACTAGACAGTGTATATCATTTCATACCACATCAACTAAA